GTTTTTCCGCCCCTGACGCGTGGTCCGCGGCCGTTTTTCCGCCCCTGACGCGTGGTCTGCGGACGCCGGAACGGATTAATGGTAATTACATTGAACCTTATGGGGAAATTTGCCTCGTGTTGCAACCAATTCGAGTTGTAACCAGAATCACGGAACAGATTAAATTCGTAACCGCGCGATTCTCGGCTGACTTCCTTGAATAAGACGCCCTTCAATTTTTAGGGTAAGGATTTTTAGAAAAAAGTATCGTCTTATAGTCGGAAAAATACGGTAGGTATGTTGCCTAACAAATTAGTAATATCTCAAAAGGGTATATACCAACTGCAAAATAATTTAAGTTTAAATAATTAATATGCCAACTAAAAGCCTGCCCAGAGAAGTATCACAGTTACTCCCTTCCCACTGTCAATTTCTAATGACCCGATGGGGGAAAAAATGACTTCGTTGTGGTTGATGTTTTGTAGCTACCTAGATGATAACCTTCATTTCATCCATTACTGATGGTAAAGACAGAGAAAGCACCAGTTATATGCCCTGGGTGTATCTGGGTGTGGCAGTCCTCAACGATGATTTTCTTTTGCAGATGTACAGAGATTGATGGCTTCTGGCCCAGACCAGCCTTCAAAAGAGACAGACCCTACATTATCCCAAGAAGCACAAGAGCTGGAACCTGTGGCCTTGCTTCCAGCTGTTAGTGTCACACCAGCTAATGGTACGAACCCTGCTTTGCTTTGTTTGGCTATGCTGCAAATGCTGGGTAGGGAATGTTGAGTGGAGGAAACATTGGTGACGTTAAATTATAAGCATTCATGACTATATACTGTAGTCCAGGCGCAGCTATTTAGATGAGCTTGGAGCTTTGTCCTCCTCGTGGCCTGGAATCTAGTCATGCAAACCACAGCTGCCATGGGGCAATCAGCAACAGACCAGCAATAGCAGAAAAGTAAACAGTGCAGGGATGCAGTGCCATTTGGGAAAGCTGAACTTGCACTAGATGGTAATGCAGATCAGAAATCTTAAATGCTAAAGCAAGGAAAGATGCCTTAATCAAGCATCTCTGGCTGCCATACTTTTGATCCATTGGTGATGCTATTATTATTCGTCTAAGACCAATTTAGGCATGAACTTGCAGTTACTGATCTGAAATGACCAATTATTTCTTTCTTTCATATACCAAGGCACGCATGCATATACTGTATGCATTTATAAGCAGCTCAGGGAAGAGGAATAGTCTTCAGAACTCTCTTATTTATTTATTTTTATTTTATTAATAAATTTATTATTTATTTTTATTTTATTAAATTTCTCTCTGCCCATCTCCCCCCAATGGGGAACTCTGGGCAGCTCACACAAGGCATTAAAACGATAAATATATATAAATACATAAAACATAAAAAAATTATACAATTTATACAAAATCTTCTTCCCTCCTTTAGGAGAAACAGCACCAAATCAGCCCTCTTCCATTCCTCAGAGGAACTGGAAGCAAAACTGATGCTCCTCTGCCGTTCTCAGTCATTTGCCGTAGGAACTCTTTAGTTCTAACCAAGAATGATGTATGGATTTTATCTCTGTAGGTAAAACATGTAATCCCAGGCAGTATAATAGCAAAGACTTTTGTTGTCACTTTTTCTTATTAAGCCAAAAGAAATCTTTATGGTAGTTAATCATACTATTTTCTATTGCTGCCCAAGAGGCACAGCATATGAAGAATGCTTCCTGCTACAAAGGGTGGTTTTTCCCAGCATTAAATAGCAATCATCAGCAATAGTGGCCTTATGGAGATGAATTCAGCTTCCAGGTAATTGTAGAAACTAGCATCCCTTTATGGTGCCTGCTTAATTAATGAGCATAATTAAACAATAAACTTAAAAAAGAAATCTGCCTGAGACCAAACCCTGCCTGGCCCATTTTCCATCTTCCTCATCCATATGCTCAGTTGACAGACCAAGTACAAATCAAAACTCAGCCTTCTCCTCCTTGACATTTCACGTGACCGTTTGAGGAGCAGATAAATCACTTCAGATCTAGTCCAATGATTTGTCTGTTTAGATCTTTATTGGCTGACTAGCAGTAGCTCTCTGTGGTCATAGGAAAAGTTTTCTCTATCACTTCTTTGATCTTCTCTGGAATAGAATAGTCAGAGATTGGACCTAGGGTCTTCTGCTTGGAAAGCATGCAGTGTGCCACTCCTGGTACTTTGCAGTGGACAACAGCTGTTGCATGTTAGGCAAGGTAAAGAGCTTATATGACTGCCATGTTGCTCTGAATGTCTGAGGTACAGTGTGAATTGTATCCAGGTTCAAGAAGGAACACCTTCCTTTTAATTTATATTATGATCATGAGAAGGCTGTTTCATCCCCAGGATGTGTTTAATCTGCAGAAACAGGCCAGGCTGTAGGAGATCCAGATGCTGGATCCAAAAGAGAAGGACGCATCTCCTTCAGCCGCCAAGTATCTCAGCCTGACCTGGGTGAGAACTGCCGAGTTCGCTGTCCTGTGTTTGTGTACAGTTGCTCCTTAGAGGTGCTACGGGAGCAGATGATAAATTCCAGGCCAGAGAAACCTCTACGGGATATCTTTTTCAGGTGAGGTCAGCTTGAAGAACACAAGAAGTTCAGTAGCATTTGTACATGTAATAGGTAGTTCCTGGACTGAGATAAAGGAGTTGATGTAATCAGGACTCAGCATCCTAGCAGTTGATGGAGGAGTGTGTATAAAAGTATGTACAGTCTGCCGAGCGCTTGTATTGAAGCCAGGACCATTAAAACATGAATACAAACCTGGAGGTGGGCTGAAGGGGTTTTGGGGCCTTGCTTTAGATGATGTTTTTCTTAGGTTGATTGGGCACTTCTGTCTTCCAGAAACCAGTCTGTGGAGCGCCCTACTAGTGCTCCTTGGCTAGATCCCAAGCACAAGGAAGTGGTGAGTTACTGCACTTTACTGCAGGAACATTCTCACCAGTGCTACGTGAAAGGTAAGGGACAGAATTATCCTGCTGGGAGTGATGAGGTTGGAGAAAGCGGGATATTACTCCAAGTCACTTTGGGTTTGCCCTAAGCTTAACTAGTGTCTGGGGTACCTGGACATTGCCATATAACAAATCTGTATCCTGGTGAGCTTCAAACAGTAAAACCTGGGATGCCTTCTCTCAACATTTATCCTTCCTGCTGTTTGGTTGAAAACTATCTGAGGCACTTTTGCATGGACATTGAACGTTTATGTTTCTGCTTTGACAGGGCTGTTTCGGAGCCTGCAGCAGGGTCACAACATCAGCTCTCCTGATCTGCTCATAGCCATGGATTACTGTGAGGAACTTCTGCAGGAGATAGACATCACTCGCTTCCTACTGACACTGTGTAATCATGTGCGCACCTTCTGTGAGCGCTCTCAGCAGCAACCACTTACCAGCTTAGAAGGAAGAGCATATCAAGCCTCCCAAACACGAGGTGTACTAACATCAGTTTCCAGGTGGGATTGGCATTTAGTATAAAGAAAGAACAGAAGGAATTGCTTATACCCTGTACTGTTTATACAGGACTATAAGCAATTTAGCACATTGGTTCTGTGGCTTTTCAGGATTTTACATAAGGAAAAAGAAAGTATAAAATGTACAAGAATAACAATACTGAAAATAAGGAGGGATTTGCAAAAACTTCAGCCAGTAGTAAAATTATCTTTTAAGTTTGGAGTGACTTTTCACTGGGATTTTACCACTTATGACAAAATAATTGAAGTGAAATGAAAAAAAAATACGTAAAATCAAAGGAGAAACATAAATATATATTGCCTCCTTCAGTAGTACATGACAACCGGGAAGAAAACAATTTCATATTAAATAATGCTTTGGCATTGTGGTCTTGGGCTTTTGAAATGACTGACAGTCCCATCTTCTGTTTTCCTTTGGGCAACCCAGGAATCAGAAGAAAGAATGTGGGAAATAAAAGCTGGGAGGAAGATGGGATTAGTTTTTGTAAACTGAGGAAGTAGTCAGATTGTTAGGTCATAGTTCTGAAAATGAAACTGGTGGAAGCTCAGAAATAAATATAAACATATAAATAATCTGATCTTAGTGAAAAAGTACATCCTTGTGCATACAAGGATGCACAAGGATGACACATAATATCTAAAGGCACTGGGATGCCCTTACCTTGGAAATATTAGGGAAACAATTTCAAGAATTATTGACAGCTTCATTTTGTACTGCTAAGTTAGATTGATTTGTTAGTATGATTCATTGGGCTGACTTGCTGGCTTTCAAGGCTAGTTGAGTTAGTTTTCTGTAGCACAGACAATAAAAGGTCGTGCAACACCTTAAGACTAACAAATGTGTTATCACAAGCTTTTATGAATGAGGTGGATTTGAAAGCACGTGATCATTTGTTAGTTTTAAAGGCACCTTTGTTTCGCTCATAATAACACATAGTGTGTATTTATCCTATAAATTTTTGTAATTTCTTTGCTCAGACTATGGATTTCTATATTTTGCCCTAGCCTTTTAACAATTTCACCTTATGCTCCCTATTCATATTTTGTAACTTTTTGCCTGTGGAAAATTTAGCTCGGAAAAAAAGTTAACAAGGCAGGTTAATCTCATGAGGAAATGTGGGGCTTAGCAGAAATTCTAGCAAAGGGCAGAATTTTAAAGCACTATATAGCTTTCAGAAATAGCATAAATTATGTAAAATACATGTATGCATAGCTTTTTTACTCTTTCTAATATTTGAACAATATTAATGCATAATTTGGACATTTTTATGCAGAATACAGATAGTCCTGCTTCATATTTTTAAATTGCCAAGGATAAAGGTAACTCAGAACTTTGTGAAGGATAATAATTCTTTGAATAGAAAACCCAAGCTTTCTTTATTAGGAGAAACTATTCAAATTGTTTCATGGCTACATTCCCTAACTATGTTTTAGCACTGTGTGTAGAGCAAAAAGTCCACGTACTTCTCATGTTTCTCTTCCCTGTGGAACCAGGAAGAGGAATAAAGCAGAAGTGAATTTCCCTTTAGCAGGTTTGTAAATCCATGTTGATAAAAAGCCAGAAATAAACACTGTTTTGCTGTTTTATTTAACAAGCTAGAGTTTGGCCAAGCAAAACTGTTTGATTATTACTCCTCTGAGTTCTGGAGGATGGGAAGTACATGAGCCCGGGCTTTGCATAGGCTTGTTTCTAGGCTCCATAAAATAGATTATGATTTAGCATTATATGCAAATATAACTTTTAAGTTATCATAGACAAATATAGTAAACTTTGCTGCACATTTGAGGGTTTTTTAAATGATTGAAGATTGTGGATATGGCATGCGGATAAATCAAACTTTCTAGGACAAAAACATTGTTTTATGAGAAATAAAAGGAAGTGCTTCTCTCATTTATAGTTTCTGATCAGAAATTTCAGGATATCATGCCTTTATCAAAAACAAAAGAAAGAAAATGAAAAATAGATTTCATATGGAGCAAGCTTTTAACATTCATAATATTTTATTACCAGTGATAGATTTCTAGATCTTCACATCATGAGAATGATACTTTAATTTTAATTTGCATTATTTTGTACCTAAGATCCAGTGCAGGCCTGAAGATCTACTTGATTTACACACTGAAAATGGATGGACTGGCTAGGTTCACATCTTGTGCTAAGCTTTAATGTGATTTGCTTGTTTATGGCTTAATGATATGAGAACCCAACTAAGATCAAGAAGAGTTGAATTTCAGTTCAGTTTGTATCAAAGTAAGCTAATAATTTGCCATGTGTTTGCCTGACTGATAGCTGTGCAAGACATAGCATGTGCTTGTTCTATCTTTAAGCTTTAATAGCTGATAGATATTTTTTTCTAACCTCGGATTCCCAGTCTCTGCTCTTCATAACTTCTTGACTTATTTGGTACTATCTTTGAAGTACAGTATAAGGAATCTAGAACTAGAAGTGATTTTACAGTATTATGGCTAGACGTGTTGCTGTTCTGGTTCTGAAGAGGCAGCTGGCTCACATAATAAATGCATTTTTCAGGGCTACAGTTAACATTATACTATCCTAGGTACCACAAGTAAGTTCTGGTGTAGAGAATTATTACAAATAGACCATGAAATCATTAAAAATATTGAAAATGAGAATAATCTGCAATGAGGAATAGAAAAAATCAAGCATGTTTGTATCTAGTGGGAAAGAGAAACTGTCAACAGTTAAAGACTCTTGAAAACATCTACGGACAGGAAGAAAAATGGCTTCCTATGCCTGCCTGAGGAAGAATAAAAATAAAGCAAAGATTTGTGGGGTTATATTGTGACAGGACTAATTATGAGGAAGCTTGATATGTCAGAGTTTGGATTTCCCCCCATTCTTTCATCTTGTAAATGTTTACAACTCCAGGTAAATGGCTGTAGCATTGGTCAGCCTTATAAATTTCTAAGGTAAAAAATAAAATAATTACTAATAAGCTATATAAATCTATCTAATCTATATAAAACTGCAATGAATCAATTCAATCGCAATATAATGTACATTAAGGTTATGTGATTATTCTAAGAAAATACACTAAAAACATCACCACCTTTATTATTTGCATTATTCAGCAGCTATTCTTCTTTCTGTCTCCATTTGCCTGAGTCAATAAATCCACATTGGTCTGTATTTAAGGAGTCTGTCCATTGAGCTTCTGCCTACTCTCTTCTTGGTATAGGACTTCTTAAAAAATCAATTGACCTAACTTGCATCAAATTAGCATTGGAAAGGTTTGCTACAACAATGAACTAGGTGATTTGAAGGTTCTTTTGAGGTCAAATGTTGCAATACAATTCTCTGGGAAAGGTGACTTAGAGATACCATAGGGTGGAGGGTAATTGAATATCCCCTGCCGGGGGGTTTGGTCTTTCCACTACATTTCATCCATGTTTAGACTGAGTAGAGCTGATTCAAACAGCATTCAAAGCTTTTGAATTTGTGGTCAGAACTTCACTATGTAACTTTTTAGGGATAGATTTGTGAATATCTCCTATGTTTCTGTTAAATTCATTCATAGATTCATAGATCCTGCTCCAAGATTTTATTTTATTTACTTACAAATAAAATCTATATTTTATTTATATTTATTTATTTATTTAAAATAAAACGTATCTATAAGGCCATGCAAATCACAATTTAAGACTCTGGGTGGTGTACATCAATAAAAATAAAAATTAAACAAAAAATAATATAAAACCCACTTAACAAATCAAAATACACATATGTATTGACATAGATATAGCCAAAGCCAAGGCAGAGAATAATAAATACTCACTCTCCAATAGGATGAGCTCACTTACTTTCCTGGCCCAATGCACAGCAGAATAGCCAGGTCTTCCTAATTCTGCAGGGCCACCCAAACTTTAGCAGTGGGGGGAGCTCATTCCAAAGGGCAGGTGCAGCAATAGAGAAGATGCTTCTATGTCCTATTAGATGACTTTGCTTCAAGAAAGGACCTGGATCTTGCCTACCTTGTGCAACTTAGTGAGAAAATAGAAATAATGTATGGCTTTATAGATTATAACTAATAAGTTAGATTTATTATAGCTGTCCACTCCAAAAGACTCTGGGCAGCTTACAACATATCAAATATATGATTAAAACAATTAAAAGCATAACAACAAAATATAACAGCCTAGATAATAAAACAGCCATAACAGTAAAAAAAACACAACAGGGGCTCCACAAATACCCTAACCCCAAGCCTGGGAACAGAGCCAGGTTTTAAATGTCTTCCAGAACCTTAGAAGAGTGGGCACCATATGTATCTCTGGGGGGGGGTGTTATTCCAGAGGGCAGGGGCTGTGACAGAAGAATTCAGGAGCCATTGCAACTTCAGAATAGTAGCATTATACAAGTATACCAACATATGCCCATTACTATCCACACTGCTCTATTCTGGACAATTGTAGCTTCTAGATTGTTTTCAAGGGTAGTTCCATGTAGGACATATTCCAGAAATCTAACCAGGAAGTGATCAAAGCACGAGTGCCTCTTCCAGCAAAATATTTTCACTTAAAGCAATCCTGTGAGCATCTATGGGTGTACTTTTATGTCTGTTGGAACACTTGTAGTATATGGGGTCTAGAAAAGATTTATTGAAGATTAAGAAAAATTATGCTGGGGGATGGTTCTTAAGAAGGGGTACATAGACGTGCTTGTGACCAGGTTGATTTTTCTGAACTATAGTGCTGAAACAGAGGATTTTAGTGAACCAGATTCCCATGGCTCTACCTGTCCTTCCCAAGAGCCCCACTGTGGCCCAGAATTCCCTCTCTCACTACTAGACAGCAAGCAACCTTGCCAAGTGCAACCTGACTTACAAAGGATCATCCAGGTAAACAGAAGACTGCTTCATTTTGAGTGAGGTAATATGATAGCTTTTTAAAGATTGAGACTGCTACCTTTATTATTTCTTCCTTTTCCATCCAGGAGAAATTCTTGGAAATTGGCAGCTTACATTTTAAGCCAGTGCCATCCAATCCCCATTACTACTTCTATTGCCCTCCTTCCACCAAAAAAGAGGTAGGAGCATATGTCTATAGTTTTGCCACCATCCTTTTCTGGGAGAGTCCTATGAAAGAGTAGGCACCTAAATTTGAAAGTAGAAGGATTCAATGCAGAGACTTTGGATGTGTTACACTGACAGATTTTTTTTTATTTAGGAAGAGGTTTCACGGGACCATCAAGACAGAAAAGGCAGTGAAGACGTAGAGAGCTCAGAAAATGATCTGGCAGCTGATGAAGGTATTAAAACTTTTCAGTACTCACTGATGAGAGAATTGAAGCTGTAGATGCTGTGTTTGATGCAGGTCAGTAATTTGGTCAAGAATAGTGCAATAGTGAAGATGTTGAATTAGGGTGAGGGAGGCCAAGATTTAAGTGCACCTTTCAGTCACAGAAGCTCATTTTGGCCCAGTCACTACATCTCAGCCCAACCTACATCACAGTATGGTTATTATGGGGGAAAAAATGGAAGATGGAGAGTTACAGAAAAAAGCTCTTGGAGGAAATATGGGATATAAATTAAACAAATAACAAAAGTAAATATGGGATTTTCCCACCACCACCTTGATTGAATGAAATTTGCTATGGGAGAATGTCTGAATACCCAGCATTGCTGGATCATTTTTGTTTGGATAAGCAAACTAGATGCAGAGAGAAGGATCCTAGATGAGCAGTGCTTTGGAGAATGAAGACAGTATGAATGAAGACAGGTCTACAGCTTCATACCTGACCAAAGTTTTCCTTGTTTCCCCAGCTATGCCTGTATTTTTTGCTTTTGCCCAAGCTGTGGTCAGTGAAGATAGCTGTGTATTTCAGTTTTCCTAGAATAATTTGTTTCCGGAAGAAAGATTCCTAGTTCATTTAACTCACCTACAGTTCCAAATTGTCATGGAAAGCCTGTAGCACAAACATTGTCCAACATAGTCTTATATCAATAGTGGGGATCTCTGGCCTTCCAGATATTATTAGGTCGCAGTATCATTCAATGCTGTTGGCTGTGCTGACTATGGCTTATGGCCAATGACAGCATCTAGAGGGCAACATGTTCCCTGCCTTTGTCTTAAAGATTGGAATTCAGGTAAGAGTGTTCCTGTTACTCTGAAGCAATCGGTTGTATGTATCCATAGGTTTGCAAAGGTGTTTTTGATCAGTCCATAGCAAATATCAGCCACAACTGATTTTCTAGGGCACATGGTCTCCATAAAGAGTCCTGTAAACGCTGAACCAGACACCTGCCGGTTTACAAGAAAACTAAAGGTTGTGATAGAGCCAATGAAATATGAAGTGGGCAAAATAGTATGGAGAGGATAGTTTTGCAGAAGGAAAACAAATCATAGCACATATGGCTAGTTGTACTATATTGGAAAATACAATTTCTGCAAAAGGAAAACATATTCTTAAAATTCAGGATGTTAACCTTAGTTATAACAGAATTATATGTCGGGCTATCAATTGCTGATTGGCCAACTGTACAGACACTGCCGGGTCAAGTGATTATACAGTCACTTTAATGATTTTAGCTCATACTTGCTTACAACTTGACATTTCTGATATAAATTACCATCATGTACTTTTGCATCTGGCTGCTAGTCCTGTCTGTTGTATCCAAAGCCAGTTTATCTCGCTAATGTTACTTTTAGTTAATCCTTTTAGGCAACACTTTTTAAAGAGGTACCATCCACCTCTTTTTGTACTTTGACAACTTTTGAAATTGACCAACAAATTCTTTTTAAATAGGGAACACATCCAGCTATGGTATTGGCACTGAAAGTGACCCAGAATTGGAGGTAGAATATCGGGAACGCTTGGACCAAGAATTTTTAGAAGCAGGCTCCCTGTCAGACTCCAACACTGTTAACCAGGATGATGATTCCTTCAGTGTCCTGGGAGACTCCCTGGCAGAACAGGAGCTGCTGGAGCAAGACATGCCTCCCCTCTTTGTGCATTTGACCTGTTCTGTGAAGCTACGCAGTCAGCACTGTTCCATGCCTGTTTGCTCACTACCTACCTGTCTAGGTGAATAAAAATGGATAAGATGAGGGTTTGGGGTGGGAGTGGTAGAACTATAGTATGGGAGATGTGGATGGCAAGATAGAAACTCCCAAAGGAAAGGTGGACTGATGGAGTCCTATGGTTGAGCTCCAACATCTTCCTGAGCATTTGGCAAAGACACATAAAGAGGAGTCTCTATGAATAATATCTGCTGCTTTCTGTAGGAGACGTGCTGGGCTGCCTTGAAAGCTGTAAGGCACTTCACACTATTGACCTTTCTGACCTTTGTGTGACCCTTGACATTTTTGTCCTGACTGTTCCTCTGGAGATCGAAATGGTGAACGATTTGCATCACAATAGGTGGGCACTCATGATTGGCAATGGGTTTGGGAGTTTTAAAGCCTGAAAAAAATTCAGACATTCTTTCCTCTCCTTCCACAGATACACCTCTGAGAGCAGTGTCTCCTTCACCCGTTCCCCAGGACAGCCCTCCTCTTTCCGTTCAGATGATGAGCTTATGCATGCCTTGGACAGAATGCCATCAACCTCAACTGATTGGTATTAATATTCTTTATCTGTGTTTGTGCTGGGATGTATGAATTGAAGACTTTTGTGCTCAGGATGTGCATTCTCATCTTCTTTTCAAGGCATCCAGCACTCTCCAATCTTCCTGGAGTGCATAGGCAAGCTGTTGAAGCCACTATGATTGAAGTGAGTCTATCTGCCCCTGGGACTGGGGCCACTCTAAACTTTGGGCATTATCATCTTTCCTCTACCTTACTCTCTCTTCTGTACTAGAGTGTGACCTGGCTAAGAGCCAGTCTTGGTAGGGACACAGCTGCTAGAAACAGGCTCTCACTGGAGAGTATTCCATTTTTGATCTGGACTTTGCCACATTCTCTTTCCTCTCTCAGATCCGCTGGCTCCTGGATGACGAGATTGTGTCAGCATTGCGTTACTCACAGCCTGTTACTGCTGACATCTTGAGTCAAGCAGCTTCCCACATCTACAGTTCCCAGGGCCGCCCAAGCTGCCATTGTGAGGTCGTCCCTTTGCAATTTGTATTTGGACCTGAGAATTCTCTGGAAAGGTTTCGTGAAGTAAGCAGGAATCTATCCCTTTGTCTTTTTACAGTTTTTCTGATAGATGTCACATGATTTCTGTTGTCCATACTCCTTAGGTAAGGGATGAACATTCCTAAGGCCCTGTGGTTGCACATAGCCCCTAAAAGCCTGAGCTCTGGCTCCAAGGGACCCCCAAAATGCTCACAAACAAAGGGTGTGCTGTATCCAGCTCTGAAGCAAGCAAGGGCACCTTGGATCCAGCTGCAGTGGCCTCTCTCTGCCTGTTGGCTGCTGCTAGAAGAAGCCTCCCCTTTTCCTGGGCATGCATAGTGGAAAATAACTATGTTGTATACAATATACAATACAATATACGATACAATACAATATACAGTATTGTATACAAAATAACTATAAAACAGAAGAGAAAAAAGATCAAATACATGGGAGGCAGGAATATTTTATTTTAATGAAATGTAAATTAAATTAAATTAAATTTAGGGGTTTTTTTTAGGTCTTATTTATTTCTTTATCCCAGCCCTGCTTGCTTTTGGAATAGGCATTTGGATGCCAAATTTGAAATGCAGCCTTCGGCCTGGAAAAATTGTGCATCCCTGCCTTGGATGTTGAACCAGATTATGAATGTCACTTCACAATTAAAAAAAAAAAATCAGCTGTACATACCACAGCTATAAGAAATAATAATACAATGAAACATCCACAGTCCAAAATTAAAATTACCAAGTAATAAAAATGAAACAAAACCCCAAACACATCCACAGACAAAAAACTGATGACATCATTTCATTTAAAGACTTTCTAAAATAGGCCTGTTTTTATTAACTTATAAAAAGCCAGCAGAATGGGGGAAAGCTGTTCCGTAACAGTGTACCCACTGAGAAGCTGCACCTGCAAGTGTCAGCCCCTCTCACTTCAAGGAAGTGAGGAGTGACTGGCAGTTTGTCCTGGGATGTATGAGTCAAGCAGGTTGACTCTGTCTGGAGAAGATAATCCTGCAAGTACCATATAGGTTAAAACCAGCACTTTGAATTATACCCAGAAGCCAGTGCAGGCCCTGAAGCAACAATATAGTACTCTCGTGCCAATACAGTATATGTCAACCAATACCTAGAACTAATATTTTGGACTAACAGTAGCTTCTGACTGGTCTTCAGAGGCAGCCTCATATGGAATGCATTACTGTAGACTAAACAAATAATGTTGAAAGCACAAGCAACTTTTGTAAGGTCCTCTACTTTATAGTTGCAACTGCTACACCAAACAGCTGAGTGAAGGCCCTCTGGCTATGGCCTCCACCTGCCATGTGGCGATAAGTCCAGGAGGACTATCAAATCATGGACCTGCTCTCTCAAGGGTAATGGTGCCCCATCAAGAGACAACACTGCAATTGCCACAGTGCCTATGTGTACAAAGTCTGTTTTGCCAAAGTTTTGTTAGCTGCCCAAAGTCATCTTAGTGAGTATGGACAGACCTAGAGAAGTTCTGGAACTTACCACAAACTCTTTCAAAATTGCAAGCATCATGTTCTCCCAAAGTGAGGTCTTTACAACTGCCTGGATCCCTGGACATGGGACCATTATGCCTGGACCCTGGGCATGGGACCAGTCCACAAATGACTGGGAAGTACTCAGAAAACATTTACTTCATCCACATCCACAAGCCAGAAGACACCCGAACAAGATGTTGTTGTAGTCACTACAATGGTGTAATGTCAGTGTAATGTCAAGGATTCAAGTGATAGTTTTATAAACAATCACCCATAAGCACCGTTGTTATCAGTGAAGAGATCCACTAGTTTCCTAGTGGATGGGAAATAGATCAGTTGCTGGAATTCTTGTAACTCTATCTCTTTTTTCATCAGCTTTGCTAAAGAGATTGTGAGAATTGTGCTTGGAAAAGGAATTGCTTTTAGTTGGGGCAAATGCCCAAAAGCCTGGCAGACAGATTCTCCCATGTAGAGTAAAGATTTTGGCAAGTCTGAATGATTTTATTGATAAAAAGCTGTGCAAACTGTTCCCAGTAGTGAGCTGTCTTCCCCCAAAAGGGAGTTGACTCCCTTAAGTAAGACTATCAATTGATAGCCTGCCATTGCAATAAGAGAGAAGGAACAACACTTCACCTCTCTTATAATCATGGTATAGGTCCATCTTGAGTTTATCCCCATACTTTGTCAGATTTTTTTTTTTTGGTCTTTCTCCACCTGGTCAATTCCAGGTATTGCTTCTGCTGCTTCTCCTGGATCTCCCTGGTAAATCAGAGAGCCATCCAAGATCAGCTAGTAGAGAGAGGCCATTCAGGAACAATCCCATCAAGAGCCTATATATCCTTCTTTTGCCAGTGGCTAATTAGGTGTTCAATGAAACTGCTTGCAAGCTTGTTGGAAAAATCTTCAAGTTCCTGCTGGAATCCATCTGGATTCATAAGGCACCTGAGGCAGACTGTGTTAATCAGTTACTTCACCTCTAGGTGGCTGATCTCATCTGAACCAGGAAGTAATCTGACTATAGCAAAAGGCTGATAGAAATGCCCTTTGTATCCAGATCCCTTATCAACTGCTTTGAGGCAAAAATGAGGTCTGACATGTGACCACTTATATATGTTGGGTACAAGATTACATGGTATAGGCTAATGGTTGCCACGGGGTTCATGAACTATTGAGCATTACCCAACACAAGGACACGGAGGTTAAAGTCACCCGATCTGAACAGGGGAGGGGACTCTCTAACACCAGCCCTGAGACCAATTGAGCAGCCTAAGTAAGTATCCTACTGGGCAGCAGGTACACAAACTGGATTGCCAATTTGCCTCTACAGCCCAAGTAAACACACAGATACTTGCATCTCACTACCTGAATGGTGGAGACCCTGATCACAAACAAGATGTCTTTAAAGATCAGTGCTCTCTCCCTAACCTGGGCCGTGATATCAAGACTGCTGAAGGATTTGAAATCCAGGAGGGTATATCTCTCAGATGGTAATACATGCCAGGTCTGCATGCTTGTCCACTACCAGGTCAGGATAAACAAGGTCTTATTGCAAACAGACCTGGTATTTATCAGCAACAGCAGCTTGAACCTAAGGTCATGAATGATCCTACTACTGGAACTCAGGAGTGAGGTCAGGAGACTATAAGTGGAGATTGACTGCAGATTGTCTGCTCCTTTCTCTATAATGGCAAACACAGTGCTTCCTGTTATATATCCTTCAATCTACCATAACTGGGACACACTTGCCCATTACCTCAACGTATTCTCAGACATTCGGGCTATTTGTGCCATAACCTCAGTAACCACAGGGTCCCAGCAGTTTGACAACACTAGTATCCCAACCATCCAACTACACCGTTCCTTCAGTTACTTTAAGCCTACAGAGTAGATTCCCTTGCAGCTGCTTCTTGTTTGTTGGGATGTGCTGTTTCTCTTGTAGGAGTTCCAGAGAATGGCCTTGTCTGGCTATGTTCTCAATGCTGAGGGGAGTGATTTCTACTATGCATCTGTTAGTCGCCTGCATGTGTCAATGAGTGGACCCAGTCCTTCTGTTACTCTTGAGAGCACTATGACAGGAGGCAGGTGTGAAAGCAGCAGCAAAATAGAAGGCTCCCTGCCTTGTTCTACTCCCCCTGATGAAGCTCAAAGTCTCTGGGCATGGCCAACAAGCGAAAACAAGACTGGAGAATGTCTGGGCATAAATAACCAAGTATCTGTTGAGGTATGTGTTAGATATACTTGAACCAGATGAGAGATGTAATGGTCATTGATATGGGACTGCAAGGCTGACTGTTGAGGAAACATCCTGGACTGCCTTATGGGTAGAACTTCTACTTCTTTTCTGTGATGCAGGTGTCAGAACAATTAACATCTCTGGATCAGGCCAGTATTTTGGAGCAAGGTTGTCCAGGTGAGGAAACTACTTTGACCCAGACGCAACATCAGGCTTCCTTTTCAGAGAAGTGGAGCAGTGAGCAGTCTCCCTTAGCTATACCATCTGTACCAAGTCTAACAGATTCTGTGATTCCCAGCAAGGAAGGTGAGAAACTACCTCAAATGGTCTGTTTACTCCAGTGGCCAGGTGATAGAGATGCATAACAGAGCAGGAATTCAGTCATGTGGCTGCCCAGTTATCACTGCTAACTAGAACTAGTTTGGGATTATAGCTGTTGCTGTCCAACAATGTTTGGGAAATGGAGGTTGGGAAAGCCTGTTTTAGGCTAGCTGTAGGTCACTCAATACTGCTTTACAGGTTTAGCTGTGGAAGAAGGAAATGGAAAGTCTCTCTCTTATGCTAGCTCTGCAGAGCTTCCCCACTGATGTTTCAGCAAGCATTCACAACAATCTATGAAATATAAAATGAGTTGCTGAACATTTTTGAATAGAATTTGGTCTTCTGAAATAAGTGGCACAGTACTGAACTCTTACAGCTTTCTTGTGCTGTTCTTTTGTTCTTCTACCTTCAATAGAACTAATTATAATCAATGTTTTGGAGTTACTTTGATTTAAAGTATAGTAACTTTTCATCAGTTGACTTTATTCTTGGTGTTTATTTTTAATAATATTATTTATTCTTGGTATTCCACTTTGAAGGACAGTTAATCTCACAGATCTGGAAGGTTTATACTTGTCTGAACTGCTTTTTAAATTTTATGTACTGAAGTTCAATTTTCAAGTATTAAATCTACTTTTTTGAGAGAGAGAGAGAGGATCTAGCACCTTTTTGTTATGTATTCCATTTGCTGTTGTGTATTTCCAAGTCTGCATTTCTTCCTAGTATTTTCCATTTCTTACTGGAATTGTTTGAACAAAAATGTATCACTTCATACTGCTAAAAACTCCATGTTCAAATCATCATCCTTTCCTCAGCCCTGTAGCACCAAAAACTGTGATCTTCTGTGGGTATTTATGAAAATGCTTTCCTTGATAGCTTTGCTCCAAGATTGATTTTTCTGTAATCAAAATCATTTTAGTGCTATTGAGTACATGAGACTGCAGTTCTAGAAAGCTACTGCATGTCTTGCTTTTCAATTTTGGTATGAAGTGAATCTTGCTTAATTTCTCAAATTTCACAATCTGTGCAGCAGTCAGGGTTTAAAAAAAACAACAACTTTGTATACTTTTATTATGCTTATACCCTTTTCTTTCCAGGCTCAATTCTTGTTGCTTGAGACGTAGATTCCCAATTTTGATGTTTACTTTGAACCAAAGATTCTCCTCAGGGATGTGAGGAATCTTGCATCCTGGGAGAAGTCTCTTAAGAGCACCTGACTCTTTCTCTACAGGTTGTAGAAAGCAGCAGCCTAGTCGAGTGCAAAGTTTAGTGTCAAGCCAGGGAAGCATGGATTCTGATCTTCTAGGTGAGTGGATAGGTTGCATCTTTGCCATGCGAGGGGGAAGGTCAGTTTTGGAGAATTGGGAAAACTTTGTCATACTATGGTTTAAAATATATGTCTAGGATTTCCTGACAACTTCATAGATGTGGGACTATGTTAGAACCATCGGACTCCCCAGGACTCTTTTGATATATTTAGGATGGATTGGCTGGGCCCTTCATAGATAGCCGGGTACATTTTCATTTTCCAGGGTATGATGGAGGTAGCAGTGATTCTGAAGGCGAGGAGGCAGTGATGAGTGACCTAGAATCCAGGTGCCCCCTCATACCTGATTTCTGGCTGATCATCAAGATCCACCAGGACCGGGTGGAAATTTATTCCCATACACGGTAACATCCTGATTCTCATGGCTTCCTAAGTGGAGATGGCAGAATGATTCCCTCAAATGATTTTTTAGGCATGGAATTGGATGATCTGTGAATGTGCAGTTTTGGAGGCTCAAAATGGGAAAGAGAAAAGGAGAGAAAGTTTCAGTTTTGTTGGCTGTGAATTTCACATCCCTGAATCAAATACAATATTAGCAGCTGTCAATATGCTGCTTTCCTCTCATCCTTGTTTTATCATTTATCATTATATTCATTCAGTGATATAATGAAAGAAAATGTATGTCTGTGTATGTATGTATATATACATATATTGCCCAGCCTGTTCCAACTAGATACCATCTTGATGTCATAGACCGCAATTCCTATAATTCCACCTGGCTGGGGAATTATGTAGTATAGCCTAGTGCAGTATTGATGGCTGCAGATTTCTGGTAGTTGAAGTCCACACATCTGAAAGTTGTGAAGGTTGAGAAACACTAGTCTAGTGCATCTGGAGGACATCAGAGTGGAAGATATAGCACTTTGTGGTTGGAAATGGAGGCTTCCTCATGAGTCTTTCTGAGACTTCCCTTTTTCTCTCTTTATAGCAGCTACAGTGCAGTAAAAGCAACACAGAATGAGGAAGGAGCTTGCATGCAACTTCACCGGACAGTGGTAAAGAAGGTTGGAGAGATTTGCCGTGTTGTTAACCAGGTAAGTAGGGTACATGCAAGCTATAAAACCTGTTGCTTAAATGACTAAAACTCCCCCATAGTTTCCTGAAGGAATATTGCTTTCTTGTGATTTAAGAAAATGAAATCACTAACCTCTTAGAAAAAATTGTCCCACAAGTCAGTTAGAAGGTAGCCAAATTGAGAAATTATTAACATCTGTTCCTTCCCAGACAGAGGAAAGGGAATTCAGCATAGATTCCGCAAGAGCAAATCCCATTGGATGGGAGTGACCCCATTGACACTGAGAACTTGGATTTCCAAAAAGCCCTCATCAAAGGCTCTTGAATAAATAAGAGGGCTGTCTTTGTAACTAATTAAATAACAAAAACCAAAGAGTAGGAATAAATAGATGGTATTTCAAAGGATAGAAGAGTATTTGATAAGACCAGTACTTTTTAACTTGTTCATTAATTATCTTGACTTAGGGGTAAGTGGTTTTCTGTCAGGTTTGTGGTTGATATCAAACTGTTCAGAAGGCTGGGAAACAAAAAATCATGAAGTTTAAGTCTATCAAGGGCTATTAGTCTTAAAGGTTTGGTGTTATCTTCAGGGTCAGATTAACATGCCTCCAAATACTGTTGTAGAAGAGTAGTGACATGAGAGGTATATGATACCATCTTCTGCTTGTGAGCACCCCAGAGGCATCTGATTGGCCAATAGGAAGAATAAAATTGTGGACTAGCCTGGGCTTTGGCCAGAATCAGCAAGTCTGCTCTGTTTCTAAATTCAACAAGTTCACCAGTAGCAATCTTCCTTCAGTATTTGCAATAATGAGTAAATTGAAGAAATTATCACTTTGGTGACTGGAAATACCCATCAAAATTTCTCTAACTTTAGAGCTTTTAAACAGTTATGCATTGTCTAATATGGGGAGGTTACTTTTTCCTAGGACTTGATTTCTCTCCATTTTTTATTTGTCCCTTCTTACAAAATCCTTCAAAACTTTAAGAGGTCTCTTTTGTAAATCCAATATAGGAAATTTATTCAGGTCACTCTTTTGGTTTGTTATTTGTCTATCCTTTTTAATTATTAAGACATCAGCCAGTTTCATTTGTATATCCAGTGTAGCATCTTTTTCCATACTGATCTTATAGCCTGTCATTTTTAAATCCACTTTCAGATCGGTATAAGTTCTATCCGCTAAAACTTGTCCCTCTTCCATAACATCTTTTAGGCACTATCTATAATGGCAGACACTTTTTAAATTAACTTCTGAGTTCATTGTTCAAAAATATCCTTTAGTACGTCCAATGTTAAAGCATTTTGCTCCATTCTATGTTAGTAAGTCAAATTTAAGTGCTCTCCTTTAATTGTAATCTTTAGTTCTTTCCGGTTCCCTCTAGTGTCCAACCTTCGAAGTCCTATCCTATCATGGTTTTTTTTTTAAGAATTGAAAACAACAGCATTTTCCCATAGGGAGGATTCTTATAATTAATTTCAAAATCTTATTTCAAATCCATCTGGATCCTTAGTCCATTTGTAATTTTCCAAAATTAACGTTCTAATCACCCTTTTGCTGTTTATTTCAAAAAAAAAATTTTTTTAAGTCCTTAAACTTGTACTTAAAACTTCTTTTGGTAAGGATTGAAGGAAACTCGCCTGGTGCTCTAAAGCTTGTCATTGTTCGTAATAGCTAAAAAGCAGTTAAGAAGCAATTTCCGAAAGTGATTCAGAAATGAGGCTCAGCAAACCCTATGTCTATATAGGCTACATTACAGCTGTGAGTTTGATTGAAATCCCTTGACTCCCAGCCACTCGACTCACAAGTCAACCACAAAAACCTCAGTTCCTTCAGTCTACACATGAGAAGCAGCTGTCCAGAGTACAAGTGGGCGAACTCATGATCTCTCCTTTTTCCAGAGAAACTTTGTCAGCCAGAATTTGCTGTCTGGCCACCAATCTCTGCCACAATGCCATCCCCGTTCCTTCAGGGACGTCTAGTTTGCCATGAATCATGACCGGAAGTCCACCTGTTAGTGGCTTTCAATAACATCAGTCATGGTATCCTTCTGGGCTGACTCTGGGAGTAGGCAGCACGGTGTTGTGCTAGCTTTTCTTCTGGGATCAGTTCCAGCTGGAGTTGATTGGTGGGGGTAGATCCAGCCAGTGGCCCCTCTTTTGTGGGGTACCACAGGACTTGGTACTCTCTCCCCTCCTGTTTAACATCTACTTGATGTGAGGCCGGGTATAGTCATCTGATGAATTAGGGTGAGGTATGATCAGTATGCTAATAGTACTCAGCTTTATATCTCTACCCCAGGTCATCTGAGTGATGCTGTGGAAGTGCTGTCTCAGTGCCTGGAGGCTATGGGGGCCCGGATGGGATGCAAAAGGTTTCAGCTCAACCCAAGCAATACCTAGTAGTTCTGCTTGTTAGACCTCGGTTCCAGGGATGTTCCATCTTTGGTTCTGGATGGGATGACACTGCCCCAGACAGACCCAGTGTGCAATCTGGAGGTCCTCCTGAACTTGTGGTTCCTGCTTGAGGAGCAGGTGGCAGGCATGGCTAGGAGGGCCTTTGTGCAACTTCGAGTTGTACATCAGTTCTGCCTATTCATGGACTGGGGGGGCTGCTCATAATCATGTATGCTCTTATGACCTCAAGATTGGACTATTGCAATATACTTTACATGGAGCTGAATACTTCAAGAGTATTCAGACACTTCACCTGGTGCAGAATGTGGCGGCATAGACAGTTACTGGTGCTGGTTACTTGGCACATGTGACACCACTGTTCCATGAGCTACATTAGCTTCCAGTGTGCTTCCTGGTGTAATTCAAGGTGCTGGTTGTCACTTTAAAGCCCTTCATGGCTTGGGAGCAGGTTACTTATGGGACCATCTCTCCCCAGTTGGCTCTGCCTGTCCTACCCAATGTGGCAGGAGGGGCATGCTCCGGGTCCTGTTGGCTAAGGAGTGTCTGCTGGCAGGGCCCAGAAGGAGAGTCATTTCCTGCCCTTTGGGATATCATCCCCCCTGAGATTAGATTGGCCCCATCTCTGTTGGTCTTCCCTAGGGCTTTGAAAACTTGGGCTTGTGCCTGAGCCTGGGACCCTGGGCATGTGATATAGCCCATCTCCTGGCTGTGTGGATAATTGGTTGGATGATGCCCAGCTGCTCTGTGTTTTATTTTTATTTTTTATATTGTGTATTGTATCTATTTATTGTAAGCCACCTAGAGTCACATGTGTGAGATGGGTGATAATATAAATCAAATAAATAAATAAATATAGAATAGATGGAGAGGTAAAAAAAGAACATTGCAGAAGAAGACAGTGCCAAACCACTTCTGTATTATTACCAAGGAAGCTACGTGGATGGGTCCGTGAAGTCACCAAGAATCAAAGGAAACTTTACTTTTTTACTAACTCCTACCCCTTTGGGCAGTTTTTAACCAAACAAAACCAGGGGGCAAAAAACTCTGACTAGGTATTCCTGATGTGAGAAAATAATTAAATTCATCCTTGCTATACCCTTCTCTTTGAAGCGGCTGCTGCTACAAGATCTACATGATAGCCACATTTGTAATTCTCTGCTGGTCGCTGAGAGTGAAGAGGATATCTGGAAAAGTGAAACACTTTATACCTATCGGCAGCGCACTGGGCCTGATGGTAGGAGCTTCAAGATTTATTCACATATATGCAGTTGCCAGCATGCTGAGCTTTATAGCTTAAAGTATCTGATTTCCCATCGGCTGTGCTGGAAATTTCACAGTTGTCCCTTGATAATACAGGTAGTCCTTGCTTAACGACTTCCCTGTTTAGTGGCCATTCAAAGTTACAACAGTACTGAAAAAGTAAGTTTATGACCAATCCTTGCACTTACACCATCGCAGCGTCCCCGCAGTCATGGGATTGAGATTCAGGTGCTTCAAAACCAGTGGGCGTTTAAGTATCCCACAGTCACGTGATCGCCATTTGTGCGCTTCCCAGCTAGCTTCTGACAAGCAGAGTCAATGGAGAAGCCAGCAGTAAAATCACAAGCCACAGTCATGTGATGTCTCATTTAACAAGCGCAGGTGATTTGTTTAACAACTGCGAGGTTGTAAGTCTGTCACAGTCACGTAATGTCTTGCTTAACCACCGTGTCACTTAGTGATGGGGTTGCCAATCCCAATTGTGGTCATTAAGCGAGAACTACTTGTGTTAATTCTGATGTACCTGCATCAACAGACTTCCCATCAACAACAGAAGAACATAAGTCCCTTTTTATTCTGAAAGACTTATGGCAGTATCTTGAGTAGAAAATCCCCCTTGCTTGTGTTTCCATTTGCCCATTGCTAGTTATATGTTTCCATACTTTTCTGCAAGGGCTCAACAGTATCTATTGAGGGTATCTTTGGGTTTTGATTGGGGTGGGTGGGTGTATGTATGGAACATGTCTCTGCTTGATTTTTGGGCTAGCTATTGAAAAGTGGTGGACAGCAGATCTTTCCCCTTGTTCAGATTACCCTGGAGAGGAAAGCTACCAGCCCCGCGACTATCTTGCAGCCACTATGCAGTTCATGCCTGGACATTTTGCCTGTGATGCAGTCTGGAGCACCACCATCCATGTGCATTCAAGGCTCAAGATGGGGCCCAATATGGGTGTTGCACGTGGTAAGTATTTGGATGTTTAGCAAGCTATTCCCAGACCATCCACTCTTAGGCAGGGCCTTGTGTCTTGCCACAGTAGTCCTCTACCTCCTGTTAGTTGCAGTTCCTAGGAAAGATATTATTAGGGTAGGCCTGGAATAGGGTAGGGCTTCATGTCAGAGAAGAGATCAGGCAGTGATGCTGCAGTCTCCTGAAAAAAGTGGGCTGCAGATCTGGAGTGTGGTGATGATGATAAATAGTAACTGGAAGAGTATATCATGTAATTAAAAAATGAGATAATTTTACAGGAGGGGGCTCTTATATTAGAATAAAAATGCTTTTAGAATCAAGATTTGAGCAAAGTAATTGCAATAGATCTAACCAGTGAGATGAGATTGTACCTTCTCAATAATTGAAAGAGTCGTATTAAAGCACTGCTTCTAAGAAGTAACATCTTTTTAAAATCATATCTGCTAACTACCATATATGAATTTAGCATGTATTTGAAACATTCTTTAGTAAAGGTTTTTTTTCCAAATATTCACTGATAAATAATACCTTAACCTGAACTCTGCTAGCATTTAATACTTTTTCACTAGTATTGCTTAATGCCTATTAATAATATCAAAATTAAGACAGTTTTCAAAGATTTGGATACATCCGGGAGATTGGTGATTATCAAGCTGGGTTGAATGAAAGGGCTGTAACCCTGGAGAGACTGCTGGGTTGATGTCTGAAAATCGCTATAGATGGTGCATTAGACTAAATCTTTCTCTTTGTAAACTTGCGCTCTCTCACTCTCTGTCCTGTAGCTATCCAAGCCCTGCGTTCTGTGCTCAATGCCTTCTCAGTTGTGAACAGGAAAAATATGTTTGTTTACCAGGAGCGTGCAACCAAGTCTGTTTTTTATTTACGGTAAGTTCAGAGTGTCCCTGGACATGCCCACTGCACTGTTCTCAAAGTTCAGAGGACCCTACTTGAACGATAGCCTATTATTGACTCAGGTGCTGTCTCACCTGTGCCTCTTGGAATGTTTTGCATTCATTTCAGCTTACTTTCTTCTTTTGTTACTCTGCCCCAGGCTTTCCGAGACCACTTCTGGTGGGAAGGCCGGGGAAAATGAAATCCAAAGTCTCTCATGCCGTTCACTGGCACTTTCACGCAGCCAGGAGCCCATTTGCACTGAAGACTTGAGTGTAAGTATTTGTTACACGCACATGGAACCCCTGTGCCCTTGGTGCTAAGAGAGAGTACAGGTAGTCCTCAACTTACAACAGCAATTGGAACCAGAATTTCCATCCCTAAGCAATGTGTTCATAAAGCGTGACTGCATTGCTTAGCAATGGCAATCCCTATAGTCCTAGTTGCCATTGTTAACTGAACCCCACAGTCATTAGGCAAGGCAACTTCCTGCTGGCTTCCCACAGCCAAAGTTGGTGGAGAAGCTGGGAGGAAGTTGCGAAGCCCAGGCCCACAGACAGGTAAGTGGCTGCTGCTGGGTACGTGAGGGTGCGAGGGAGGGTCCAGGAGGGTGTGAGGGGGTGCACGAGAGGTGCTGCACAGATCAGGGAAGGTGCAAGGGGTGTGTGAGAGGCATGGGATGGGGAGGGTGCGCAAGAGGCACCGCACAAGTCAGGAAGGGTAAGAGGTGCTGTGCTGGTCAGGGAGCGTGCACACGAGTGGCCAGCGCAGCATGAGTGCAGAGGGGCTAGGGGAGACTTGTGACCTTCCCTGCTGGCTTGCAATCTTCCCCAGCGACTTGCAACCTTCCCTGTCAGTTTTCCCATTGACTTCCTGGGGAAGCCAACAAGGAAGGTTACAAATGGCGATCACGTGATCGCGGGGTGCTTGGTAACCGGTCATAAGTGTGAAAGGGTTGCCAAGCACACAGATCATGATCATGTGACTGCAGGGGAGCTGGGACAGCTGAAACTCCAAGAAATGATGGTAACCACCATTTGTTCAGTGCCATCATAACTTGGAATGGTTGCTGACTGAATGGTTGTAGGTCAAGGACTACCTGTATACTAAATGCTTTCAATGGGAGCTATGCTCTCTTTTCAGCCAGGCATGCCATCGTGATGTTGCTTCTCTTCAATAGGGCTCTCACTCATCCTTGGGAACAGCCTCTTGCCGCAGTGTGGATTCAGCTCGTCCTATAAGCCAAGTCGATAGACATATCCAGCTAGTGGTTCATGGAGTGGCGCCAGCAGGTAGATTGGGCGTGCATTTCTAATCCAGTATTGGATAAGACAGAAGGAGGAAGGAAGGCCTGCACAGATGCTGTTAGAATAAAATACGAAGATTTAGAAGCTGTATTCTCTTAAATTTCTCCTGTAATTTAATAATTACATTTGTATATATTTCCATTGTAGTTTCTTTGTTCCAAGCATTTCCCCTAGGCATAGGATAAAGGCACTTTTGGGATAGGTTTTGTCTTGTGACACAGCTCACTCTAATATATGCAGATCTTTGGTCTGGAATTGTAATTAACATAGCAACAGCAGGTGAAAGAGCAGAGGAATGGCAGGACAGATCTCAAAAACAGTATCCTAAATAGGTTAATTGATGGGCACTGTAGCAGATTCAAGAACTCTAATGGAGTTCAGGTATAAGAAGCTCAGACACTTCTCCTTTTGTAGGACCTGAGATCACAGATGAGCTGGTGAAGGTTCTGCGTAGGCGTCTGGATGAAGCCACCCTGGATATCATCACAGTTATGCTTGTGCGGAACTGCAAACTCACTCCAGCTGATGTGGAGGTATCGGCTGAAGGAAGTGCTGTCTTGCTTCCCAAGACTGTTGTATCTTCTGATTCAGAAGATACATTTTTGTCCTTTCAAACAAGAGCTTTACTCCTTGGCAAAAATCTCCCACCTTTTGGGCTTTGTGGTCTCAAAAATGTCAAATCGTTGATAGCCTATTCCTTCTGCAGTTCATACAACCTCCTGGCAGCCTGCCCACTGAAGTACTGCAATTTACCCTTCCTACTTCCTGCCTGCCTTGGCTTCCAGCTGTGGCCTGCTATCTGCGACAGAACCTGCTGATCTTTCTGCACACACCCAAATACACAGACAGCAATGTGGAGAACCACTTCAAGGTGAGTGTGTAGTTGCCTTGAACTGCATGCTCAGTCTTTGGGACTGAATGGACATCTATAGGATGCCAGGTTATTTTGGTTCCAGTCACTGAAAACCAGTCATGCTGGAGAGTAATTTTGTGGCTAATAGTAAATGTTTGCTTTACTGCTATATAATCTCTTATTAGACTGAAGATCAACCCTGTGGTCTGGTAATACTCTCATATTAAAAAGAGCTATAAATGTGTTATCTATACTTTAAAAAGTGTCATAATTTTAGTCCTGAGGACTCTAAATTAAACTTTCTTTTTTGAGGAGACCTATCTTAACACTAGCCTGAATTCACCACTCTATCCCTGCTTTTCAGCACTACTTTAACCAGAACAAGCAGCAGCAGCAGCAGCAGCAGCAGCAGCCCTGAACTGGATCTCTATCTATATAATAAGCCAGGAGGTCAAGGCACCGGTGGCAAAGGTAATAAGCATCTCTGCTCAATTAGAACATGATATAGAATGCTGAGTAGCAGCAAACTAGAGCATTTTGGAGCAGTCTTAGATAGGTGAGAGCAAAAGCTAGCTGGGCTACAAAAATTAGAAGATTCTGTGAAAAGCCATCTGTCTCTTGCTTGGTCCATATGAACCAAGCTATGAGATCTCCATACATCTACATATCTTGCAGTTTTTCCAAGTATGGTGTTCTCCAGATGTGTTACCCATTCTTTTCAACCAGCATAGTCAATGGCCATGTTATCTGGGCATTATCAGAGTGGAAGTATAGTGTACTGGAGGATTAGCAAAAGTAGGTCTGATGCTATGTCCCCAATATGATGGAGAGGTACTAAATAATTTTTTAATCCCTCTCTGCCATTTGTGGGTTGTAATTCAGTGATGGCTGTTGTTCAGTGCTGATTGCACATTTTCTGATCCATGGTGAAGGAGACTAAAATGAAACAACAGGTAGATGAGGATATAATGTTCTTGAATAGAGAGCCAAACTGAGCAGGAATTAAAATACTTCTGCTTGGAACAAGACTTTCTGGGTTTTGGCCCATTCACTTAGCTGGTAATGTTGATTTGTGTTGATTGGTGTTGCCCATACGCAAAGAGAGTAATGCATGTACTTTGACATATTCTTGCCTCCCTTTCCACCTGCACTGTGGTTTGGTTGTGTGGGTAATGCATCACTTCAAAGTGTGTCTGACCATTCTTCTGTCACATAGGTTCCATGTTGGATCTTGTGCAGCACCTGTTTCCACCTTCCCAGTTTCAAGGTAGCTTCCTGTAGATTCCAGTGGGCCACTGAACTTCTTCCAGTGCTGCTTCCCATCTTCATTTTGATCGCCTGCCTGCTGTGCTGTTGGCTTCTGCTCTGTTGTTTACCGTGTCACCCATTTTTCCTCTTCAGTGTTGTCACCCAGACCTTTTCCAGCTCCAATCCTTTCTTCTAGTTCCAAGGAGAAGCCTTTCTTCAAGCAAGGATTATTTGTTGAGGTTAAAGAATTCACAACAAAAACAGGAAGTAATGGCTGTATGTTCTGCATATTTTGTGGCTTCAGATGGAGATAGAATAACTATTTTTCTTTTCGCATTTAAACCTCCCGGTTATAACATTCTTGAAACAGTGATGGGAGCAAAGCATTTTGCATGTTTCAGAAGATCTATATAAATCTATGAAGCATATGCTACTGTAGGGCTTATTTTGCAGCACAGATCAATAGGCTATTTTCTTCTATTCTGTAATCTTGGAATTGTGGAGTGGGTTTCCATAATACTCTGGCATAATGGTGGAGCACTGTGCAGCTGATGGCAGGTTGATGGATAGCTTGAGATGCCTGATCCTGCAGTGCATTGTGAAACAGTCCTAACTAAATGGATTTTACGCTCAAGGTCAGAATAAATGCCAAGCTTGGGCAAGAAATTTTCCTGGTGACATGTTTGCTCAGGACCTTGCTCAGGATCAGTTTGCTTCTGTAAGAGGGCTTATTGCATGCTGGATCAGTGGAAATGGGACTGGAACACTTGAGTGCCTTTTGTCTTATGCACCTTTTGGAGCAGGTTCTTTACATATAGATTGATGGATGGATTTCTAAGTATTTTTGGCAACTTTCGGCCTTATGATTCTGTACCTAACAGAGAATAGATGACACTACTAGTTCTTCCTTCACCTCTGTTCTCATGTGGCTGTTGAGTCAATAACATGATTATGTTTCAGCAGTGCTGAATATAGGAGACGGAATATACTTAAAGGCAAGGAGGATCAGTTTGCTTCTGTAAGAGGGCTTATTGCATGCCTGGAATAGGCTCTCTTTCTCTTTCCTAGGCGTGGTTTAGGAGGCATATCTCCACGTGATCTATTTCTTTCCATGCAAGGCTATATCAAACCGAGGCCATGCTAATAGGAGGTGCTGAGCATGTTATGATTACCTTTGACGATGGGGTGCATGCTTGTGATAGCATCTACAATGCCTCTGCCATCATGCCACCTTCTGCATGGAGGAAACTCACTATAGTTGATGCCATTTTAAAAACCTAGAATGCTGTTGGTGTCTGCTGATGCTATCTATAGAGTGTTTTCTTACCTCCTTGCACATCCTTCTTAGGAACATGGGCACGAAAATATTAGTAAGAGATTTTGCTTGGCAAAGTACGATTCCTACAGTTTGACCATTTGTCATTTTCTTGTTTTTCCATGGGTAGTAATTGATGTGGTGTATTTACAGGCCAAAAGAAGGTTAGAAGAACTGAAAGAGTCCCACCACAAACGTTGATCCCCAGTTTTCAAGGGATCTTGACACAGTATAGGAAAGGAGCTGCTTGCTTGCTTGCTGCTGTTTGCTGGAATAAGTAAAAATAATCTAGAGAGGGCTGATCAGTTGTCTGATGCTTTTGCTGGCTGAATTTTGCTAAGCCTGCAATGAATGCCACTGTTCTGTAGGTAAAAGCCCATTCCTAGTGGGGGCCGGTCTCTTCATTATCCACATGTATGTTGATTTCCTTGTCCACATTTGTTCTACCCTTTCTCTCTGCCCATCCTTTTTTTTAACCTTCCTGAGTAGCATCCCAAGGATGCTGAGTTTCTGTAACAAGTACCAGGTGAGTGGGCTCAAGCACACCTTTTATTTCCCTGCAGGTGTCGCATGCATTGCCCTGTCCTTTGTGGATGACTGTGGAAATCCCATTTCACTGGCTCGCTGGGTGAGGCCATCCGCTGTCCTGCTGAGCACTTCATTTCTACCAGAGATGGATTTTGAGAGCTTGACTATGGTCAGCAAGCATGAGTCTGAACCTGGCAAATCACAGCCAGGTAGGAAGGCAGGGCTTCTGTTTTCTGAGAGATAGTTTGGGAGCAAAATAATGCGACCAGGTGCACATCTGGCTGCCTAAGTTCAGGGATCATTTGGGAATTGCCCATGCCTTTTCTAAGAGGCATTGTCTTGAAACAGACTTTTTCTTTGCAGCCCTCTCTCCTCTAGTGCGCCTTGACATCTGGGAGAAGGGAAACATCAGCTTGTTGCAACTGTCTGAAAGACTGCGTAGTGCCCTGCGCCATGCCCTCTGTGATGCCCTCATGGAATTTCATGTGCTACCCAATCCATTGTGTGTTGAGCCATCCACTGAGTTAGAGGATCCGGGTAAGATCTTTCAGTTTCCGTGCCACTAAATTCTGTGAAATTATTGCAGCCAAGTGCTTCCTGGCCTTCATATAACTGTTCTTGGATGTGAGGGTGATCTGACTGTGACATCTGTCACTCTATCAATCGCCAGGGTTGATTCGGCCGATCTGGCTGGCTAGGTGGGTGTCCCCTTCCTCCCTTACTGCTCCATGTGTGTCCCTCCTGAAGCTGCATGCGTGGTGGAAGCCGACGACCATCCCAGATAGAAGGAATGTACCAATCTTCTGTCAAGGGTATATGGTAGCTGCGCTTCCCTGCTAGAACCTCCAGACAAGCTCATATGACTGTTCTTAGGAGCAAAGGAAACTGTCTCAGTGAATTTAATTCTGTATTATCTAATTGCTCTTGAGGCTTCTGATAAGAGTCTGTCTTTCCTGAACTCCCCTGGAGATAGCAGGACTTGAACTTAGGAACATTCGTGTGCAAAGGCACACACCTTACCATGTAGTTCTAATTCTTTTCCAAGGTTGTGATTGCTTTTTGTGGAGTTCTTTTTTGCTGGCTGCCACATAAAACGAACTCATTGAGGCTAAAACAGCTTCTAAAAGACATGGAAAGCCACATTGCTTAAGACAGTTCTTCCTATAGAGAAGAACTGTGACTGGAAAAAGAGAGGGAATTTCTGGTTTGAACAGTGTGGGATCTTTACTATAGCTGTAATAGAGACTCTGCTTTCAGGAAGCCTGCGCCGGACAATGTCTGAATCAAAAGGACTGACTCAGCATGCCAGAGGCAGAGTGTGCCCTCCATCTCTGCCCTTCCCAGTGCCCAGCACAATTCTGGGTGAACCTGTCACACCTACAAGCAAGATGGGACGGCGGAGCTTCTGGGATATGCTGGTAATGACTATGGAAGATGGTGGTGGGAGCTGCTTTGAGTGTGGTGAAGGGGGAGGGTCAAAACTCACAAACAGAAACTAAATTAAAGAACTGTTACGGCAGAGCGCAAGCCTAGAAACTTCATAAGACTGTTGGTACACTAGCCACATTTTGTGACCCCCTACATACTTCATAACTCAACCCTTTCCAGCTCCAGACTGTTAAGAGGTATTTTTCAGCTTAGTGGGTCACAGGTTCCAGGAATGCTTTGACATTTACCCCATAAAGGGTCTCTAGAAAAGGCCTCTGGTCTGATGGCATAGTTGCATACCTGTTTTAAATCAGACCAACAATATGTGTCAAGCACTATAGATATTTGTATCCTATTATGAATGGATTATTATAGTATTCTTTGAATGTTTGAAAAAGACCATATAAATGCAGAATGTGGCAGTAATAAAAAAGCTTGAGTAATACAGAAGCTTAACAGACAGGTTTTTCTGTGTTCTGTCTTAATTGTCAGAGCAAACCAGAGATGATCGAACAAGGAAGCCCCAAGACCACAGATGACATAGTGTTGGAGCGGCCTGAAGAGAGTCGTAGTCGCCGTCGCCATAAGACTGAGAGTGTAAAGCAACCCTCAAGCCAGGAGCGTGCCGCTTCAGAGCAGGAACAGACCCAAAGGCAAGCATGATAGTACTTTCTATCTCACATCTTCTTCTAGGACATGCTGGCTGGGGAATTCTGGGAGTTGAAGTCCACATATCTTAAAGTTGCCAAGGTTGAGAAACACTGTTCTAGGAAATTGTGGGAGGGGTTATTTCTTCCATGCCAAATCCTGCACTTTTTTTTTTATTCACTGGAATGTACATGAAACTCCCACATCTTCAAAATGGGTCTAATCTGATAAGTAATAGGACAACTAGGTGTTACTAGGTACAGATCATAGTGTAAACCTTGGGCATTTGAGAAGGGGGTAAGCAAGAGATCTGCTTTCTCCCCCCCCCCGCCCAATTTTTCCTCCCTGGATCTTTTTTATCCTTGAATCACTTGGATTTTGATGTTAAATAATAGATTTTCTCTTCATAGACGTCGGACCTGCCAGCTAGAAGAGGGAGATGTTGGAATTTTGCACCCAGTTTTCAGTCAGACATGCCAGTCCTGGATGGCTTTCATGAACCATTTGGGTATGTTTCTAATTCTGTGTCCTGATCATTTCCTTGTTTCCCTGGTTTCAGCTTAGTTTAAAAGCATGGAGATTCTGCTTTTCTTTCTGTGTTCAAACAACATTTTAAATCTGGATCTCCTTTCAGGGAAAAAAACAACAACAATAGGAACAGATTCTGTTCCTTTAGTCCAACTCCTCTAGCTGGGAAAAAATAGTTTGCAGTCATAAGAATGATGATAAAAGCTCAAAATCCAGAATAAGGTTAAATAATAATTGAATCTTACTGATGAGCCACAAAGGAACTGGCCTTTTTGAAAAATATTTTGCTGGTGAATTTTGTTCAGATAGATATTGGTTTTCTCCCTGTGCAGGATGTCCATCTGTGCAACAGTGTGTCCTAGAAAGTGTCTCCCGCTTCCTGCTGCCTTCCATCATGCTGGAAGTAGTGAATCTTGTCACTACTTTAGCGAGTGACACCACTATCAAAGTGTTTGAAAAAGTCAGGTAAATGCTGAGGTTAAACTGTCCAGATAATAGGGAGCTGCCGATGGTCTTAGGGAGCTTCCTTAACAAAGATGGAAATAATGCATGTGGAAGGGGATATCTCTGTGTAATATCTTATCCTTTGCTGCAGTGGTCCTCAAGGCATGTCCTTTCTGCCATACTCCCTGACACCAGGCACCAGTGCTCGACCAGCTGTTATTCGACATTTTACTCTGCTGGGACGGAGCTTCCACCAGTGGCGCTGCACCACAGAACAAGGTGAGTAACACAGTGGGGGGAAATGAGAAAAGCAGTCTGGTTCTTTTACTGCCTCTGGGTTCAGGAACTGTATTCCATTATGCAATCCTATCTTCCAGCTGTCAAAGGATTCCAGCGTTTTGAGAGTACTGAGCTTGGCTCTTCAGATAAGGGTTGTGATGTTGCTCCCCGACAAAGATTCCTCTTCATGGAAATCATTGACAAAAAGGTATGTATTTATGAGTGAAAGCTAGGCAACAATAAAATTAATTTGGTGGTCTGATCAAGCAGTGCTGAGAATGAGCTTTTCTTGTCTCATTTTTCCTTCCAGTTGGTGCTTTACACTTACAATTGGTCGGTAGACCTGGGCAGTGCCCTGAACAACTCTCTCACTCGCTTACTACAGTGGCAGAATGCCCGAGCCCACGTGGTACACTGTCTGCTTAGCCAGAAGCTTGGGCTATTCCATCATTACTGTTATATGGACACTCCATGGCATGAGGACAGCAAGCAGGTATCTCTGCTTCTTTATATTCTTTGCTTCTGTTTTCATGACTTTCTGCTTCTAAACTAATACTGCATCTCTCTTTGTCCAGGAGCAAAATCCCTTCCTAAACTCTACCCTGGAAATTGATGCTCTGATTCGGAGCCCTAGTGTTCCTCCAAGCAAGGAGCAAGGTCGTCTCAGCAGTTCTGCACGCATCTTGCAGCCTTTACATTTCCCTCCTGATATGGTGCCCTTTGATGAAGCCCTTCGAGATGTTTCAGTCATCCAGCCTATTGTTCACAAACTAGAACAGGGTGTTCATGACCCTGTAGCCCAACATGGAGCTCAGTTCCTGGAGATCAAGAACACAGAGAGGAAAGGTAGGTGTAAAGTTAGCTATAAAGGGGAATGGTAGGCAAGGTCTGGCATTATTAAAGTTCTGGGGCTGTTCTGAGAATCCCTGTGTGAGAACTGGCCAAGGAGGAATTCAGTGAGGCAGACAAAGACAAGGCAATAGAATGGAGCCAGCATTAGTTCCCATTTCTGAAGATGTCAAATCTATAGTATATGCATTTGTATGAAACCTTAAAGGCATAAGTTTTCAATTGGGAATGCTCTCTGGCAAAGAAGAACCTGATAGATCAAGAACCTCAGAGTCCTGCTCTCTTCAGCTCCTGCTCCTGTTCCCGTTCCACAGAGCTGGAGAAACAGATGAAGATTGAGAACCTTTTTGTGACATGGCAACAGCGTTCCGCTCAATCCAACATGCCCATCAGTGTGAGTTTGGGGATGGGACATGGGGCTGGGATGTGAGAAGCTACAAGAGTGATTTTATTTGCATAAAATGTTCTTTTCTATAAGGAAAGACTGTGAATTAAGCCAGTGGAATCTTGGAATATAGTTCTCTAGGGATCATTTCCATTGCTGCTGTTCTCATGCTGGTGTAAACTCAATTTTGTTCATTACCAGTGTTTATCACTTGTTTGGACAATCCTAGTTTACTCATAGGAATGCCCTCCTCTCCTCCCTCCTATATCTGTTCCTAGATGTGGGCATTGTGTGGAGCTTATAAATCATGCACTTCTCTTGTAAGTTCTGTGAGTACAGCAGTTTTAAAAAGTGCCAGTGTTATCATACAAATCATAATACAAATGTACACAACTAGTTCCCCTAATGTGTTACTTCACTTTTGCAACATTCAGGAACAGGGAAGAAAAACAGCATAAGGGTAGTTGGCATATGAATTGTTCCTTTGCCATTGCTGACTTTGCCAAACGGTTACATACTCCATGTAACACACTATTCATAAAGAATGTTTATGAGGTTAGTGAAGAACACAGATAAGATGTTCCAGATATTATTTCTAACATATGATCAGGACTTTCTGGAGTTGAGTAGATAAGAAATATCACTCTGGGTATAAAATTACTATAAGCAAAAATACTGACAATTATATGAGAACTCACAGATGAAGAGCACTAACATTGGAATGAGTGTTCTGTTAGAATTCTTTATAAAATGGAGATATGGTTTGGGATTGTTTAACAATTATTTTAACTTGTTACTTAAGGGCAAGCGAGAACCAGTTTGGTTAAGGCATCAGTCTAGAAACCGGGAGACCATGAGTTCTTGCTCTGTCTTGGGCATGAAGCCAGCTGGGGGATCTTGGGCCAGTCACTCTCATTCAGGACTCTAGGAAGGAGGCAGTGGCAATCTACTTCCAAAAAATCTTGCCAAGAAAACTACAGGGACTTGTCCAGGCAGTCGCAAGAAGTCAATAATGATTTGAAGGTGCCAAAAAAAAAAAAAACCTTAAGGGCAGCTTACCAGAAATCATGGCATATCAGGGTGTCACCCTCTCTTTGTCCAAGAGACACAATAGACTTTAATCATGTTTGCAACTCAGGAGCTAGCAAAAACAGCTACATTCAGAAGAACAGATGAATCAGCTTTCATCTGCTCTGAATATCTTTAAGCAGAGAAAGATTTATATGATCTGAAGAGAAACCAGAATGATATCCTGATTCAGGCTCCACTGTCAAATCTTATAGTGGAATAAATTAGTTTTACATTAAATATTGACAGGATATAATTGTTGGGTTCTTGGCACTCTCTGAGTTTGGTTCTCATTTGGCAGATGTTTTGTTACCTTACTCAGAACACCATCAATACATTAATATGCAATATGGGTTTCGTGGCTGTTTTTATATAGCTTATAGAGCACCAAGTACCCAATAGTTCGACCCTGACTACCTATATTTGCCACTAGTGCAAGGAAAATTAATTTTCATATAGTGTCTTGGCCATGTCAGAGCAGATCTGATAATCAGTGATACAGTTTTTCTTTCCACCTGAAACAGCATAGTCTGCTGTTTTTTGCCAGATAAGTAAGTTTGAAGCAGCAGATAAATTTACCTCTTGTTCCTCTTTGGTTCTCTGCAATATATTTAACAGAGCAGACATTCAGATAGGATCAGTGGTATGCCATGCCTCCATATGTTGCCTGTGGTCCAGAGAAAAAAACACTTAAGAGGGAGATTTTGGCACCTTTGCCTTTGAAAGCTTCCCCTTTGTTTCCAGGAATTTTACATCAGTGGGGCATTAATAAACAAATGAAATAGGCCTAGCATTATGCACATGTTTTCTCCTATGTGTATGTGTGCAGCTTGCAGACCTAGAAACCCTGAAGCAGTCATCACGCTTGGTCCATTACTGTGCCACACCCCTGCTCTTTGATCCAGGTTTCCGGCAGCAGATTCAGGCTGACCAACAAAGCAAGCTGGAAGGCAAGGTGAAGCACGGGGAAAGGGAAATGCACCTTTTGTAATCGCTTTCCTCCTTAACTACTATATGAGGGAGGCACATAAGAGGATTTTTCCCAGATTGAACTAATTGAATGAACTATTTGACAGGAGCCCGATAAAAGATATTAGAGTAAAACTTCCATTTAAAGAATCACTGGGGTGATTCCATCTATTCATTTGGAGAGATACTTTTGCATATGCATAAGCAGACTATCTGCCATTTTACACATATGTGAAAGTATACATCAGACCTCCTGGTGCTTTCAACTCCATTCCCAATGGTGCCCTCCCACCATTGTTGCCAATCTTCCTGCAGGACCCTCATCCTGCTCCAGAACTTTCCCACCACCAGACTTCCCTTTGGCTTATCACCCCTTCCAATCTTCTCAGAAACAGAAAACTTCAGTTTCATGGACATTGTCTATTATTTTGGGGAAATGTCCAGACTTGGATTTTGTCCATTGTATCTCAAGTCCATTAGATTGAGGTCCATTAAATCCTATTATTATTGTATTTTCGAAACAAGTTGGGGCTGAGTTAATATGGTCTGGTTCTCTCTTAGTTGTCAAAGCTGTTTTATGGGTTCACTGCAAGACTGAAGCCCAAATGTCACTATAAGGTCATTAGTTCAAATTTTCTCTGAGAAAATGTCATTATCTGATTGTTTGCTGCATTCAGAAGCGCCATCGTTCCAATGACTCTACAGCATCTGGTAGAGACCGTAGCCACAGTTGTGACTCTGCAGAAGGGCTACCTTGTCGATCCAAGGATGAGGCCTGGCTGCTGGAACTATGTCATGCCTTTTTGCAGCAATATATACAGTATCTGCAGAGCATGGGCTTCATCTTGGTACAGGTGCGCCCAGCCTCACCTGCTCGCAGGTTAGTATAAATTAGCAAGGAGAGGTGATTTACAAGTGAAGAGGGAGGAGCTTTTTGAACTGTTGTGGGTAGCAGCAAAGCACATGACATAGACATGCTTTCTTGCAAAATATGTTTGAAAAATTATCAGTTGGAAAAGCTTGGAAATATTAAAAGGAGACATGTGGGATTTTAAGTCTATTAAGATCTCTTGAATCAAAAGGTGATGGGAGGCTATTCTTGTAGATCCTTGATCTTCCAGTTTCTGTATTACTCTGGATTTCCAGCAGCACCAGCCGGATCAGAGCTCTGGCATCAATGGGCAGTGAGACACGGGGCTCCTTCTCATACTCCAGGCCAAAGGTGGATGGGAGTCCAAAGGTAAGAAACCTAGATTTGAGCAGGGTGGTGGCAGGATCTGTTGGCATAGTTGCTCCATCCTAGATGGGCAGTTAGCTGGAGGGAGGATGGGCCATCTAAGAGAGGGATGGAGCCTCATGTTCTAGCCAATGATTCCTTTGGGAGCTATATTTTCTAGTTATCATCTAATAATCCTGGAGGTGTACTCCTGAAAAAAAAAAATGTATTGATTTTCTAGACCATGAACCCTCCTGTCACTACATACCATTTGCAAAGAGCTTTGCCTGGAGGCATTGTACTAATGGAATTGGCTTTCCAGGTGAGTGGAAACTGCCTTTTGCCATGACCAGACCATATGGCTTAAGTAGGAAGAGCCACTGTCAGGGTTCCTAGATTAGCACATTCTCAAGATGAACTACAAGTACAATGGGGAAAATAAGGGTATGGCCAATCATTGTGAGATGGTGTGCACTAGAATTGCTCAATTGGTTGGGGGGACTTTTCCTAGGCTGAAGGCCACATTTCAGTTTTGAGTACTCTGTTGGATTGGCACTCTAAAAATATGGATTGAATCTGGGGCAAACTAATCTTCATTTCATTTCATTTACATTTATATTCAAATGTAATTAAAATCAAATATAGTTGTTATGATGCCTTCAGTTATATATTTAATCATTTCCCCTTAATATCAGATTAAACGCTACTATTTGCAACAAATTTTGGAAGTCTTGGGGTCCACATGCAGCAGTTGAACTATAGAAGGAAAAATAGAGTTGAGATAACCATCTTGGATGGAGGCAATGTTTCCTTCATTGAATTAGCTGTTTTAAAGAATAATATTTATTTTGTTTTACTCTCTTTCAGGTGCTTTTAGCTCTTAACATATGCTTTTTCAGTCATATGTTTATGTGGCATACAACTACATCTCTGTTGTTGTTGTTGAGTACAAATTCCCTTTGGAATTTGGACATATTTGAAATACTTCTTTCCCTTTTTACACATTACATACACACACACAGACTCACACAAACCTATCTGCCTCACAGTTTCTAAATAAACATTGCAATACACACCACCACAAGAAGCAGATAGGATAATCTCCGAGGATAGTCTTCACTGTGGGATAGTTAACAAAGGGATCTGCAACATGTGGCTGTTAGGGGCTGATGAAAGTTGATATTTCATCTTTTGCTCCTCTTCTTAGGGATGCTATTTTTGTGTGAAGCAGTATGCGCTGGAATGCTCACGAATCCCCATGGGCCAAACAGTCAACTCACAGGTAATACTGCCATGTTTTGGGTTTCCCCAAGAGGCAAAACTCAGTGGATATAGAAAATGTCATCAAAATATATGTGCAGGAAGCAGCTTGAACTTTGAAGGCCACATGTTCTCTTGATTTTGCATCCCAGGAATCCAGAATCCTGCTCATCACATGTACATGTTTCTCCAGTACTTGAGCCACTCTCAAGTATTGATTGATTGATTGATTGATTGATTGATTGATTACATGTCATCATGTGAGTGGCAACTCTTAGTGGCCACATAGATAAACCTTCTCTGGGACCATCCTTCAGGTTTCCCAATGGTGCACCCACTGTTGATGTAATTGACACCATCCATCTTTCTGCTGGTTGTCCTCTTCTTCTCTTTCTTTCCACCTTTCCCAGCATTATAACTTCTCCAGAGAACTAGTTCTTCATATAATGTGTCCAAAATATGATAACTCAGATTGTTCTATGGTCCATTTTATGGTTTTCTTGGCTATCCATGGCATTTCAAGAGTCTTCTCCAACATCAAAGTTCAAAAGCATCAATACTGTTTCTAACCTGCTTCCTCAAAGCCCAGTTTCTGATCCAAAGAGTGTCACAGGGAAAACCATTGCCTACATAACTTTGATCTTTGAACATGTAGACAATTCACTGCATCTGAATATCATTTCCAAGACCTTTTTTTGCTATTGTTGATAGTCAGTTCTAAAAGGCAGAAGCTATTCACCATTTGGTATCTTTATTGTCAGTTCTAAAGCTGTTGGTTGTACATGTAGTCATTAGTTCTTCTTTATATTTAATATTGGTCCTTGACTTTCATTACTAGAACTTCCAGATTATTTGCATTTTCAGCTACCAGAATAATATCATCAGTATAGCACAGGTTATTAATGTTTTTCCCTGAAATTTTAAAACTACATTCATCTTCTTCCAGTCTCCCTCATTATATATTCAGCTTTTGGTTGAATAAATAAGGAGAGAGTATACAGTCTTCTCTCACTCCTTTGCCTATCTGAAGCCAATCTTTTTATGTTTCACCATGCTCCGTCCAGTCTTTGGGTTCCTGACCTGTGTATAAGTCCTCATATGAGGACAATGAGAAGTTCCAGAATTCCCATTTTCCTAAGCACATTCCACAGTGTGACATGATCAACACAAGCAAAAGTCTTTCTGTAGTCAATGAAGTACATACTGACTTTTTCATATTCTTGGCTTTCTCAAATATCCAGTGTGCATCAGGAAAAACATTCTTTGTCCATCAACATTTTCTAAAGCCAGCTTGAACATGTGGCATCTCCCTTCCCATATATGGCTTTAATCTGCATTGGATGGTCATAAGCATTATTTTGTTGGCATGTGAAATTAAGGATATTGTGTGATAGTTTGCACACACTGTTTTCTTTCTTTACTGTTGGTGTATATATTGACCTCTTCCAATTTGTGGTCACTGTGTCATTTTCCAGATTTGTTGGCATGGTTTGGAACATTTACTGATTCTTTCTTCTCTTAATCATATTTCTGTAGACATTCTGTCAATTCCTGCAGCTTTCTGACTTGGTTATAACTGGATTGTCGATCTAAGTTCATCTTCTAGTACTAGAGTTTCTTGTAAATCAGGAATATATTCTAAAGTATCTTGGATGTTGACATCTCTACAAAATACTCCTTCCATCTGTTTGATCTTCTTTGAATAGTTGCTATTTGTCCATTGACATCCTATAGCATACCAGTCAAGGTTGGAACCTCCTCCTAATTTTGGAGATCTTTTGGAAGATTATCCTTAGTTTTCCATGTCTGTTTCCATCTTCAGTGCCTTTACAGATGTCATTGTATTGCTTCTTGTCTCTTCTGAGAGGTCTCTGAAATTCTTTCTTATGTTCCTTCTTGAGATCATTGCCTTTCTTGGCTTTAGCTTGTCTTCCTTTGGCAATTTCACCATTCATTCTATCATCCAGTTTGCTTTCTTCTGTTTCTTGGTTTTTGCAGTCTCTTTTCACATTTATCCTTAACAAGTTACTTGATTTCATTTCACAGTTCCTCTGGTTTCCTGCCAGTGCAGTTCATGGCTTCAAAGTGATTCCCATTGTTCTCCTTGAAAATGGTGGGCAGATGCTCAAGATCATATTGTGGAAACTGGTTGGGTTTGTTTTTCCACTTCGACTTGACTTGAAACTTACACATGAGCAGTTTGTGATTTGTTCCACAGTCCACCCCTGCTGTTGTTACTGAGCTCTTCCACCTCCTTGTACAATAATATAGTCAATTTGATTTCTGTGTAATCCATCTGGTGATCATGTATATAGGCATTGTTTTGGTTAGTGATGAATAAGTCATTCTCCTGCTTCATTTCTGTTCCCTAGGCCATATAGTCCAAATAATTTTCCTCCTTACTCCTTCCAACCACAAGCAGCACATCTTGCTTGCATGTTTTGTTGATTTTTATTGAACTTAACCATAAAACTTAGGTTAGGGCATAAACCTGGATAACTGTCATATTAAAGAGTTGTCTGTAAAGTCTCACAGATGTTATTTGGTCATTGAGTGCATTGTATCCATTAACTCTCTTTGCTCTAACTTTCCTGACTATGAAATCAGTGCTATTCCTTCCTTGTTTTTTGTGTACTGGGTAGTAAACCATATGATCTTCTGACTGAAAAGAGTCCAGTTCCAGTCCATTTCTATTCACTGATGCCTAAGAGTCGATGTGTAGTCAATTCATTTCATCGTTCACTGTTCATGCTTTTGATGTTCCATGTTCCTACTCTAATAATGTCCTTGCAGCTTCAGATTTTCTTTTCCTATGTTGCAACGTCAGCAGATAGACATCTGGAAGGCTTTAATATAGCCACATCATAAATGGCATTAGTACTCTGAAAGATCCTCCGCTCTTCCTGAGTATATTAAGCACCATCCAGCCTGAGAGGCCTGACATATGGAACTATATCATCAATCCTTTTACATAATCTATCCACATGGTTTTCATGATAAAGTGCAAAAATGGTTTACCATTGCTTTCTCCCTCACAGTATGAAATGATGCCTTTGCCATTGTCAATAAAGTGTACATCCACCTCTGGTATTTTCCTATATTGCTGCTGCTGCATATAGGTGACTGCTTTAGCTAGGCAGCTGGGATGACCTGCAGACTTTAGGTGACCCAGCTGGGAGTATATACTATTTGCATACACTCCTGGAATTCTTTGCTCATCCCTCCCAGGAATTACTCCCCCCCCCCATAATGAGGCAGCTTAGTAGGACTTGAGGGGAGCATCCTCCCATATGTCACTGTTATTTAATCCCTGTTTCTTACATTCTGTCAGGCCTGGGGTTGCATGATACTGGAAGGCCTGACCTCCCTAAGATTAGGTATGCAGAAAGCTTGATTTCATGCTACAGACTTTCCCTAGTCTTGTGTATAAATGTAGGTTTTTTCTTCTCCTGTCACATTATACTGACAACCCATTCAGTAGTCTTCAGCTTTGATTTCCAGAACGGAGTGCATCTCAGTTGCATCTTGATTCCTATATTATCTGTAGCTTTTGCTGAAAAATTGCTGCACAGGCCATCCACGGAGTGCAGAGTTACAGACCACCTCTTATTATCTCACTAGGTGGAGATGTGGACACAGTGTGAGAGGAAGAGACTCTCCCTTTTTGTTTGGGTTTGTTCTTTGTTTGGTCATGTCTACACCTGGTTGTACTGGGTCTCTTATTGCACTGGGGAAGCCAGTCTGACGGAGTAGTGTGAGCACAGGATATTGATCCGACTGAGTGACATTCCTTCCTTCAGATCCAGAAAACAATTAATCTTTACATTGGATGCCTGCTGCATAAAGCACCAAAATGTGAAAATACATTTCTGCAGGTTTTTTGTATTGAGGGGAGAACCTTGGATTCTCCAGTTCTTGTTGGCCTCCAGTTTCATAAGTCTCAACTGGCATAGCCAATGGTTGAGAATTTGTACCCAACAACATCTGTAGGGGCTTTCCCACTCCTAAGTAAAGGCTGCCATCTTTGAATCTGCTCATTAATTGCAAGTCAGAAACTGACATTCTTTAACTTGAAACTAAACACAACCAATTTCTGGGATATTGAATAAACCAAATAAATATGAAACTAAATAACTGGTAAATCTTTTTACCACATTACAATCCATGTTGCACTGTTTTATCTTAGTTTCAATAGTAAATTTGGGGTAGAGGAAGAAGAAGAGGAGGAATGGCACTCATGGGACATTACGATTGATTGTAGAAGAGTTGGGATTGGGAACCATAAAATAAAAGTGAACTTCAGAAGTATGTGAAAAGTTACTTAAAGGCACACATTTTCTGAGCATTTAGGAGATGCTGTCTTCTACCTTTCCAATTTCAAATTTTTCCCTCCAGTCAAAAATTCCAAGCTTGCTCCTCTTTAAAAAAGAAACTACGCTAGAATTGTGAAACATAAATGCCCATTTGCATTTGGGGAAGCTGCATGTATTAGTTGAATCTGTTCATAACCTCCTCTATATTCCCAATTTGTTCACCTTGAGAAAAGGCAGATCCTTCAGATCATTTCTGTTTTTCCTAATAGAGGCATCTACTACCATTAATATATTTTCCTACTGAATTAAACCAAGCCAGCAACTCCCAACATGCTTTTTCTCTCACCTTTATAAGTTTTGCTGTATACTCATTTGAGAAAGGGCTAGATCCTCATAAGTTTACTTGCTTGTTATATTTGACAGCTTAAACTTTTAGTGGCTTCAACCAAATTTCCTGGACTAGTTAAAATGTCCCTTCTTGTATATTGGTTGTATTATCACAGTCCTTCTTTCTTATGGAGCAGCATATGTATCAGAAAGAGGCCTTTGAGTTTTCCATACTTGCTTGATGCATTCTCATGATATGGATTATGACCTGTACTAGAGGTCTTCCAGGTGTAATAAGTAAAAGATTCTGCCTAATTCTCCTGAAGGAGAAATTAGAAAAGCCTTATTCTGTACAATTCAACATTTCCTCCAGAATGCATCCTTTATGGTTATTGACCGAGGAGTTCTACTTACATTGTAGATTTTTTTCCCCCAACATAATTTGCCTATGCTGCTTTTGCAAAATGGGCAATTCACCCACCAGGCTAGATTGCTGGCTGGACGAAGATTATATAATATGAAGCACAGAGCTTTCTATTGGTAGCTGAGCAAAAGTGCACAAGCTTAGCTAGCTTTTCAGCCCCAGGAATCAGTGTACTAGGACTACTGACCAAACTGCCTTCTGTTCAAAAAGCCCTTCTACAATAATTATATGTTGCTTAGCTTGGTAATGAAATGAGTATTCACTTAGATATCTTCCATCATTATCCCTTTTCTCAGTACCATTTGGATCCATTGCACCCAAATCATATGACAATATGCTAGTTTTGCCAGGCTCTCACTCCCAATTGCTCTCTCCTCAGCTTTCTATGCTCTTCACGGAGGAGTGTGACAAAGTACGTGATCTTATGCACGTACATTCATTCAGCTATGATTTTCACCTGCGTATTGTGCACCAGTATCTGCTTGGATCTCACATGGCATTACGGCAAGGTTATCACCTCACAAGTTTCCTGGAAGACTTCATCACCCAGCATCCTGACATCCCCAAGTTTGGACGCAACCACATTTTTCAAGGTGAGGATTCCAGCAGAGTGTTTGAGGAGATCTTTCAGAAGGAACAGGTCCATCTGAATAGTTCTTGGCCACCTCTGCATGTCTACAGTTCAAGGGCAGAGGGGGGAATATCACAATGGCACTATCAGTATTTTTATTGCCACTTATGTTTTGTGATGCACTGTCTTTATGGCAGTTTTTAGCAAGGAGTCTAAGGAAAGTTTACCAATGGATAAGAGACAATCCAAGTTTTACTTTGCTTCTAATTTCTAGATAGCTACTACAATAATTCTAGATAAATCAATACAGCATATGAATGCATAAACAGGACTATACCAAAACATAAAAAATCTATAATTGCCCTTGTGTCTTATAATATCATCACGTACTTGTATTAAAAGACCAAGGATCTTCAGTCACAAAATATGCCTTAACCAAAAGGCAAGTAAATTGAGGTTGCTCCTTTCCTCTCCATTTTAACCCCCCAGAATATTCCCAACAACTCCTAACTTAATTTTGCCTTTTCTGGGCAAGTAGAACACTTCTAAACAAAGCTATGAGTTACAGCCATCCAACATTTTTATTGTGTAAGACAACCTAATGGGTTTACACTTCAGAATTATCTTGGAGACTGATAATTTGCTTTGCAGCATGCTAGTTTTCCATTGAATTATTTTTTAAATAGAACAATACAATTTATATAAAATTCAGGTGGTACAAGAAATCTGGGACGCACTATTTTACAGGATCCTTACAAAAGATAGCTAATAAACAAGCAATGGGAACTGAGTTGTTGTCACAGCTAATTAAAGAACACAGAAAAAGCAAGTGAGTAGATGATCATCATCATGATCATGATATCAGACATAACAACTAAATATAAAGCAACATAGCCTAACTGTGAAAGCTAGAATACAGATTAAAGAAGCCTTCCATTCTCATGTAGCCCCCCCGCCACCCTCTGATGGGGAGGAATATTTGGTTTTAGTTTTTGTTTTACTTCACACCAAAAAACAAATAACCCACACTATCTTGTCTCTTCTCCAACAGGTACACTAGCCTTGCCTACCAACACCATCACAGCCCATCAGCTATATAATTATATAACTGATCATGCCAGCACCTACCATATGAAACCCCTGCGCATGGCCCGGCCAGGAACTAGCACTGAGAGCAAGAAAGGGACTCCTGGTTCTGAACAAAATGAATATGCCCTGGTTTCCATTTGGAACAGGTGTGTGATTCTAATGCATTTCTAAGGATTTGGTAAAAGTTGCTATCACCTATTTGCTCCCAGAATTCCACGTGCAACGTCTGGTCAGTGAATTTTCCAATGCAGTCATGTAAAAGGCAATTTATCTTTACATTTGTTAGGCATCTAATACTGCTAGGGGTTTCATAGAAATAAAAATAACACAGGCCATTGCCTGTAATTTACAGACTAGATTCTTGTGTTTTCTTGGGACTAATTGGCCAGATACAAAATACATATTTTGAGACAGTATGAATGTAATGTAATTTTGAAGCATGTTATTTATTTAAAAACAAAGTAAAACTCGCTGTGTGTGCACGCGCATGTATAAATAAATTCAGGAGTGCACAATTTTTTCTAGGCCAAAAAACACACACTTGATTTTTAAGTGGTATGCTAGGACCACAATTACGAAAGTAGTAGGTGGGGCTAGAACAAAAATGGAATTGGATTTCATTTATATTTAAATCAAAGGTTAATACAGTTACTGTTATAAACTCCACTGGGGAGTAATGGTAACTTTCTGACACTTTAAAAATTTCAATTTGTTAACAACTTCTGGAGGTTTGGGAGAGGCATACCCAAGCTTTTGGGGGATTATATGCTGCCTGGAGTCTCAAGTTAAGCACCTGTATCTTACATATTTCACCCTTCACATTTTCAGCAACAGAACAGATGTTCATTCCATACTCAAATTGCTTTTTGTAAACGATGATGATGATTTAAAAAGTTTGCTTTAATCCCAGGCCTCACATTTTACATTTGGTATGTCCCCTGAGAGTCTAAAATAATAAAAGTTTAACCTGTCATTCATTTCTTACTATTGCAAATAGCTGAGGAGAGAAAGATAAAACATTTGCTTCTAGAGTCATTCTTTGTTTGTGCTTTTTAAACTAATCCGATCCTTTTGAGAATCTCACGTGAGCAGCATGATCTTCAGATTGCTTGTAACTATGATTTTCCACCCTCACGTTCTCCCTACTTATGTCTTTTGGTTGACTTCTTTATTGCTTCTGTTGGAGTCTGATTCCCACAGGGTGCTTTATTCTCTTCAAAACCTGTCTTGTCCACTTCCTTTGCAATAGAATACAGGCCTTCTGCCCTCCTCCAATTGTGGCACATGTAAAGCTCAGTTCTTGCTGCCTGTGTTTTAGGCTCTTGCTTCAAAGCACCAGGCAGTCTTTTCCAAGCTGTTAATCGCTTTGATTTCCAATAGGTGGGTCAAGCACCTGTGTAACTGAAGTGCTCAGTCTTTATAGTTGTATTCCTTTGCTGCCTAATCTTTAACACAGAATTCCCCGATTTTGCCTTGTAACAGTTCAGATCATCCTGCTTCTGAACAATCTAGCAAAGATTTGCATCTTTATGAAATGCTAATGTTTGTATTAAAACATGATATGGCATTAAGAGTTTTGATTATTCAGGATTGAGTCTAGAAGAGAAAGCTCTAAATGGTAGCCACTCATCCTACACAAAGCATATTAGTATGCTCATATCTCTTCTGGCACTAGGGGACATATAATCCAGTTTAATGTATGCACAATAACAGACATGATTACACGAGAATACAAAGTTGATTGTGCTAGGTGGATGGTTTCAAGGTGTAACGACAGTACAGAGGCCCACATTCCTGACTTATCCTTTGCATTAGATTCAGCTTAAGATTTTCCAGTTAGTCTTTTCCTCTGCAACTCCATACCTGTTGAGCTATTCCTGCTGAATGACTTTCAATTCAAACTGAACAAAGCACAACTAATGTTATAAACCCCAAGTCTATAAGTTCTAGACTTGAACTATAGGTATACCAGCACTCCAGTTGAGAGTTAGTTGTCTTTTTGTTTTTAGTTGTGTCAAGCAGCCTATTGCAATAGTAGCCTACCTGGCGATAGTAAACATTGTGGTGGAAAGAACTGCAGCTGCTTTCTTTCCCCTGCTGAGAGAATTCCCCACACTCCTCTCTGCTTACAGCTCTGGTTCCTACAAAGATTCAGAGGGGCTGCGTCACCATGATGATTTTGATGTGTCCCTGCTTGTGTGCCACAGTGCTGTGCCCTTTGAAGACCAGAGTGAGGCAGACCGACACATGTTACGGTAAGAGTGAAGGTAGGCAGGGTACAGGGACAACCTTTTCAGGGTTGCAGTGTAGAAGACTGGGAGTGCTTACAATGTTAGAGAAGAGGTGGGCAGAGATATAGCCTAGCTGTAGTACATTACCGGATAGATGTCCTGGGACTATCCAGGGGAAGGCCATAAGATGTAGAGGGCATAGGGAGTGGCCTTGAAGAACAGGAGGAAGAGCAGTCGTCTAATACTAAGGCAATGGTCAGAAAAGCAGGGCTTGAGCTTGAGCCAAGAAACTAATTTGAGAAAACGTCTCAGACAAGCCCCTCCCTAGTTCACACAACGATAAAATGAGGGAGGGGGAAAGCACATTCAGACTTGCAAGATTGCGTTGCTATAGCTATTACAATAAAAGTAGTCCTGACATATAAACCATTGGTTTCTTAGTCTGGTCTAAAGATTGTTGGGATAGACAGGTCATGGACGAGTCAAAGAGCAGGGAAGAGGCTTCTTCTCAAAAGTTGCTGGGCTGTATACTGAGGCTCTTAGTAAACAGGGCCATCTGGAAAGGCATCACAATTGTTTCCCTGCTTCCAGGCTGCAGTATTATGTGATCATGACAAGCCAACGGGAGCTCTTCCCTCGACTAACAGCAGACATGCGGCGTTTCAAAAAGCTGCCACGCCTACAGCGAGAGGCGCTGGAACCCGTCCTGGGACGCTCATCATGGGAGACAGTGGAGGGTGGCCAGCAGCGGAAGGAAATTCCAGAGCCTTGGGAGGAGGTGGATGATCATAGCGAGTTCTATGCAGGTGGCCCCCAGGTCAAGGTGGGCCCAGGACTCTTCTACACCTCCCCACTATTTCCACTCCTTGCTTCTGAGGTTGCTGCTGCCCAGAAACAGCTCAGCAACATGGTACAATGTGCCAAGGGCCACTGTCGCCGTGACAACCTCTGGAAGCGGCTCTTCTTGTTGGAGCCCCTGGCTTCTGACAAGCTTAAACTGGGCAAGCTCTCTCTAAGTGAGCTGGAGGAGCTGTTGGACGCTGTGCACAAGAAGTCCATTGCTGACATTGATCCCCAGTTGGTAAGTGGCTGAACTAAATCAAGGGTACACAGGGTCAGTTTAAGGGTGTTACAATGTATGCATTTGGGTTGGGCCCCAGAACAAGCATGGCAGGCAGAAGCAGGCTGTGAGCAAGAAAAGGTATGAAAGTGAAGAGATATTGACAGCCTGCCTCCACTGCAAACAGAGACTTGAGAGAGAGCACCTTGTGTTTGCTTGGGGCCAGTAGGATTTGGGGTGGATAAGTTTACCCATAGGCTTACACAGGTCTGTGTTAGTCAAAAGGTAGATTGGGGTGATGCAGTTTTGGGTGGCCAGGTCACCAATAGGCTGATATAACTCCATGTTAGTCAACGAGTAGATTGAGCCAACAGGGTAAGAATTTTACTGCGGGGTGGCTGATATGCAGTATGTTTCTTCTACATACATCTTTAATCTTTAGTTCAGGTTCTGGGAGTATTCCTTTCTGAATGCATGGTTTTAACATCTTATTTTGCAGGAATCTATCTGCAAAAGTTAATCTAGGGCCAGGGGAGGGCCTTTAAACATGGTGTTGTATTGGGCCCCCAAATTCCATATTCATACAAATGTATCGTTGAGCTTCACCCTACAGCAAACTCAGAAGGGAAGAAAGTGCTAATAATCTATTATGGTGAGAAAGACCCCACTGTTATTCTTTCCAACCCAGTGGAATGTTGGGAAGAAAGGGGTCAGAATTCTGGCCACCAGCATGATAGTCATCTAGAAACTGAGCAGAGTAACACCAAATTTGAAACATTGGGAGAAAGCATCCAGCAAAAGAAAGATTAAATTTAAAAATGGGTTAGATCAGTGCTTCTCAACCTTGGGAGCCACTGGGTTAGATACATCTTGTGGCTGCAGAGAGAAACGTTTCGGAAAACCTCCCCCAATACATCCCAGTGGGAGAGACAGTTGGGCAGTGGCTTGGGCCATGCTAGGTCCCCCTCCCTTCCCCTTTTTGGTCACATGACCCAGAGTGGAATGGATATAGCCTATCCCAGGTTTTCCAGTGCGCACATACAACAATGAGCAATACATACACACTCTCCCTGATTAGACCCCCACACAAACCCAACAGGTTATTTCTTTACACAGAAGAACATAACACTTTCTATGGCCATTGCTAGTAAAGGAGTTGGAAAGAATTCCAGAAATCATATTCCGGGCGCCTACTTCATTACCTCCTTCTGTGCTGCAGAGTATCTCCCCCTCAGCTTATCCTTTGTCCCCTCTCTCCTTGGCAGAGCTGCTTCCTCACCATGACCGCCTCCTGGTACCAGAGTCTTATCAAAGTCCTACTGAGTCGTTTCCCACAGAGCTGTCGCCATTTCCAGAACGCAGATGCTGGTACCCAGTACCTGGTAAGAGATTTCCAGTAGAATTGTGTCCTGCTGGACCTCTCTAATTAGCTCGCTATGGGTCAGTCAAAAATAATTCCTGATTATCCACCCTTGTCAACTGGTGGTGGTAGAGCATTTTCGCTCTAGAGCGAAATTTAGTTCTGTACTCTTCATTGGAATGACATTTGTATTTGTTGCTTTTCCAGTACAGTACAGAATGTGGTTTTCGGCCAGTTTGTTTATATACGTGTACACACATAAATCAGTGTTTAAGTTTTATAGATAATCCCGTTGCCTTAACCACATTCTCTGTTCCCCCATCCTTCCATTGAGCAGAACCTCTTTGCATATTATGACTGTTACACAGCACTGTTGCTTTTTCTCTACAGGTTGTTCTGAATCAGAAATTCACAGACTGTTTTGTGCTTGTATTCCTTGATTCACATTCAGGAAAAACAGTAAGAACTTTATCCTCTGTAGGTAAGGGGAAGGCAGTAGGGTTTTAGGGTGACTCCATTTTTAACCACAGAGATTTCTTGTATCCAGAATTGCAGACCCTAATCCAGGAGTTCTTGGTTTCTTCTGGGTTGGAACAACTGCCTCCAGACAGTTCTGATCTTCTCTATGGCCAGTTTTAACCATAATCATCCAGTCACATTTGTAGTTCTCCAATCCTAATAGTGACTGAAAAAACAAATATATAATATTTGGGTATATTTTTGGCACTGGTCTTCTATGCGTTGATGACAGCAGTTCTGTTATCTTGTCGGTTTTGCTTTGCAGAGCCTGACAGTAGTCTTTCGGGAGCTGTTCCCAGTTCAACCCCAGGACAGCGAAAGCCCTCTGCCGCAACTTGTGTCCACATACCACCACCTGGAATCCGTGATCAACACAGCTTGCTTCAACCTCTGGACAGGGCTGCTCTAGAATCAGCCAGACCTTCTGACTGCTATACAGGCATCTGCAACCAGCCTAGAATGGAGGTGCCCTGACAGGACTGTGATCTGAAGCTGTAGCTTGCTGGATAAGAAGTCAGAACACTGAATCTGACTGGGCTGAGAGAGAATCGTGAAGGGAGAGCAGTTCCAGGAGTTGAGAAAGCATCGTGGCTAGCCCAGCTTAAAGGGGCAGTGTATGCTTATCCGGAGAAACTGCTCCGGGAGGCCTCTGGTGGATGTGCTGTCTTTCTGTGGGCTCTTTGAGATGAAAGGCCAAAAGACTACTGGAGTTGCTGACCAGGCCAGTCAGCTAGAGTGACACTATTAAAGCATATGGGGAAAAGTTCTGCACAATAGTGGGAATGTTTTATATGAAGTGAATGTACAGTAAATTAAATAAATGGATTAAACAAATCTAATTTATTTATTAAATAAATGGATTGCTAATGTGAAAGGACTTTGTTACAGATTGCCCAACAAGCTGTTGCACTGATCCTTAAGGAGAAGCAGAGTAGGCTTCTGCTTACTTGCCCAAACCACCTTTCTGCCAAGATATATGGAAGCACTGCCTGATTCTTACCCTGTTCTTATAGGATATACTGCTATATTCTCTAAGACAGTTGGCCTGGACTGTCATGAGTTTTGTCAACTACTTGTCAGGTTTTATGTTACATGATGGAGCCCGTTTCTTTTCTGAACAGAAACAGGACATGATGCAAGGAAAAGGCAAATTAAAAAATCCAGGAGTGTTTTCTTTTCTAGAGCCACTAAGTGGTACTATTGAGCTAAATCTGGAGTGACGTGCCCTTTTTTCCTTTGTACCAAACCGTTTCCCATTCATTGTTAGCAGGAAGGAGAAGGCATGCCAGCATCTTTGAGTGTGCTTACTGTAATTTTGCACTCCTCTGGTCTGTCAGTCCTTATCATTGCTTTGAGAATCTGGGGTTTTGTTTTGCATCTTTAAAAAAAATATCAAAGTAGAATACGTAATTGAGAAAGAAAGCTCTCAGCAGGAATGTCATTTTATCAGGGAACACTAAGTGACATGATTTTCAGCTTTAATCCAAGTAACAATAAACATATTGGCCATCTTACTTTATTAAGAAATATCCTATTAAGGCAAAATGGGATGTTTTTGGTAGCTCAGCCAGTGGCAAAAGGGTGGTCATTCCCTCTGGTGGGATATAGCAATGGTTGCTGTTGGTTACTCCATCTATAGTGGTCTTTATTTCAATTTTTTCTCAACTATTCCCACACAGTGATTTTCCCAGTATGAGTACAGCCAGTTTAATCCATCCAGTGTGTCACCTGCAGGGACAACCATAAACATTTCCATTAAGCAAAAATAACATCTTGACAGCTAACCTGGGCTCTTTAAGGTTGCAGGGCTAACCAAAGCTTCCAACATGCAATGATCAATTTCATCTAATAAGATAAAGTAAAACTTGCCTTTTGGTTTATATTCACAGCCTATATAGCCACTATAATTCATTGATTCCAGTAAATGGAATAAGTAAGGGAAGTTCAATTCTCCAGAGCTATCAGGTTCATGTCGTCCTGGTACTTGGGCAATTTGAATATGTCCTACAGAAGAAGACAGTAACATCAGTTATTTCTTATTTGCTCTCTTTGAGTCTAGCATTGTCCTTATAATTAAAAAAAAAAAATTGAAACAACCAACAGTGTATATCACTCTTTCTAGCTTACCAATAATTGGGAAATATGTCTTTAAATTCTGGGTCAGATTACCATTCATGATCTGGCAATGGAAAATATCCTGTAGAGCAAAAAGTAGATCTTCAGCTCAAGACATATTCTGTCTCCTTTCTCAAACTCAATACTACCTCTGGATTGGGGAGGGGAGGGGAGGGCGGCAGCAAGTCTCAGATACCAATTTCAGGGGAACAGCAGGAGAGGAGTATATCTCTGTCTCCTGATTGTGAATGGAGGTATCTGGTCTGGGTCACCATGAAAAACAGAACAATGCACTAGAGTGGGCTTTGCCCTGATCTATTAAGGCTGTTCTCACATATTAGAAACCAGGAGTCCAACTTTACTGGTTGTTGGATGCAGACTGCACAATGCACCCTGCTGGTCCAAAGTGGCACCCAGGAGCCCCACCTAAGTTTTTGAATTTAAATACAGGTAATCCTCGCATTACAACAGCAATAGGGATCAGGATTGCTGTTGCTAAGCGATGCGGTCATAAAGTGCGGTGTCATATGACGGCAACAGGGGCTGCTGCTTAGCGACCGCAGCCCCTGTTGCCATCATAACCCCAAGACGCATGAGTCATTAAGTGAGAAGAGGTGGGAGTCCCCGATAAGGACCACCATGGGGGGCGGAGATGGAGGAGGCCCTGGGAGGGCCAGTGTAGGCCACATGCGAGTTGGGGGATGGCCAGTGCATGCTGCATGTGGGCAGGGGAGTGCTGCAGGAGAGAGGAGAAGTGAGAGTGACTTACCAGAGGGACCTGCAACTTTCCTTGCTGGCTTCCCCATTGACTTTGCTTGTGGGAAGCCAACAAGAAGGTCACAAATGGCAGTCACATGACCCTGGCTCCCTGCAACATTGTAATCAAGCCAGGCACCTGATCGAAATCACGTGACCGTGGGGGTGCTGTAATGGCTGGAACTTTGAGGACAAGTTGTATGTCCATTTTTTCAGCACCGCCATAACTTTGAACAGTCACTGAATGAATGGACATAAGCCGCAGACTACCTGTATGGATAAATATTAAACATGGGAAGTTGGCATGCTACAAAGTAATGGGCCAGCCTCCTGTAGTATATTTCAGAGAATTCCTCTGGGCCTGAAATGTACAAATTGCCCCAGCAGATATTTTGCAGAGACGTTCTTAAAATTCTAAAAATGCCACCAACCGTAACAGGTTGAGAATTCCTGGACAGCACTAACCAGTGAGTAGGCTAATCTGAGTTGCCTAGCAAGTGAAAGAGCCCAACATTCCCTTAGAAACATATCTAATAACACTTACCAGTTGCAGCTTCAAACTGGGGCTTTTCACCTTTTCCAAAATGGCAGCAGCTGAAAGAATAGAGATTTAGGGAATCAACTCATTTTATTCTCTACATCTCTCAGCACTACAGCCAACTCTAAAACACAGATAGGAACCTGCAGGCCACGTGTAACTTCCCCAAGTTGTTGATGTAGCCCATCCCAACATCTTAATGACCCTCCTCATTCTGTTTTAGCAGCTGCTGCCACCAAGGGCCCAGTAACCAACACTACTCAATACAGCATTTCTAGCTTTTCCCCTGAAAGGGTTCACTGGGAATTAGAAGCAAAGTGGGATGGTACCTGAGAAGGGTTTAACTTCCTCTCCTCTACATTCTTAGTGCAATCAAGAACTGCTAGGGAAAGAGAACTTCCATTCCCTTTATGCAGTCCTGCCTATGAAAGGGAAGTTTCATGTCTTGGCTTACCTTGCTGTGGTGTGGTCAAGAAGTAATGGGGATCACTAATCCGGTTATTAATAGGCTCCAGTAATCCAATCAGATTTTCCTACAGGGACAGACAAAAATGTGGGAGTGGTCACTCGGAAATCTAGGAGTTGCTTAGAATGGAAAGTTTGTTTTTAGGCTCCAGCCCTTGTGTTTCAGTTCTGCCCAGTCTTCATGGATAGTTCCATATCCCCTTTGTACCAAGTTCATATTATTTTCAGAGATTCTAACTATTTTCCCTTGCTGCCTGTCTTCCTGGAGCTAGTAACTCCGACAATTACAGGTAACCCTTGTTTAGCGACCACAATTGGGACCGGCAATTCAGTCACTAAGTGATGCAGTTGGTAAGTGATGCAGTTGCTAAGTGGAAAATCACATGACCGTGACTGTGCTTATGATTTTACTTCAGCTTTCCTTTTTCCTCACTCTCCCGCCCTTTGGAATGTTCATCCTAGCGCTGGGATAATTAGCAAGAAGGGAAATAATGTTTGTATTTACATTCATTGTAGAAGAAGGAATTACAAGAGAGTAAGCAGGCACATAATGGGGAATACACATTGAAAGGAATGTGCTGGTGCCGGCTGTTTGCCTAGCAAACTCGCAGCCACAAGCTCGCTAGGCAAACAGCTGGTGCTCACGCTTTTCAATGTGTATTCCCCATTGTGCACCTGCTTACTCTCTTGTAATCCCTTCCTCTCCAATCTCTCGGCTCTGCGGTGGGGAGAGGGGAAAAAAATGGGTCAGGCACAGGAGAGATTGCCTAAAGCAGTGTTTCTCAATCTTAGCAACTGCTAAGTAACTGCTGGCTGGGAAATTTTGGGAGTTGAAGTCCACATGTCTTAAAGTTGCCAAGGTTGAGAAACATTGGCCTAAAGAGATTGCTTGTTCAGGCAATCTTTCTGCTCTGTGAGCGAGAAAAAAAAAAAAAGTGTCAGGCACAGGACAACGCACACTAGCTGATTGCAATGACAAACGTGACAGAGAGAGAGAGAGAGACCGCAAAGGTCATAAATGCGTCCCTTGGTTACAAAGTTATTTTTTCAGCACCATCGTAACTTCAAATGCTGCACAGACAGTTGGTAAGTGAGGTCTATCTGTAATTGGATTACAGCTTTCCTGAGCAGTTTGTTCTTGCTGCTGTTCTGATTCTATGGAATTCTTGGGAATTGGAGTTTAGGAAAGTTTTAGTAACAATTCCCAGCAGCTGTAGCCTGTCTGGCTCCCATAGGAGGATACTGGGAGTTGCAGTTCAGCAACATCTGGAGATAGTCTCTTCCCCCCTCTCCAAATAAAATCAGCATTAAATAGAGTCCTTCCCCTTTCTGGAAGAGGCATGGCAATCTGCTAATCCCTCCACTTCCACTCAGTCCGTACCTGTTTCAAGATGTCAGCAGCATATTTGAGATTTTCAATAAAGGTGGCTTCCATCTCAGTTGCCACAGCATCCCTTTTAGCACCTATAGGAATTCGGCCAGCCATAAGATGGATCCTAGAAGCATAGAGCTGCATCAGTGCAGAAGTAAGCTGAGTCAACTGTTTCTTCTACAGACTAGCAGGGATAAGAATAAGGGAAGTTGTGCTTTTTGTACTTGGATCAAGATATCTCAGCTGCTTCTACAGTGTGACTATGGTACATGCTTTTATTCCCAGTTTAATCATGCCCTGAGAAGAGGCAATGATCCATAAGGTGATCTTCTGCACTCAGAACAGTCAACATATATCACTGCATGTGGACTTCGGTGGGGGCAAGTGAATCCACTCCATCCTGAATCTTGTAATTCAGAACTATACAAGATGCAGTTCGTTTTTTAATACAAGATCACCTAGCTTCACTTAGATTATCAGTGCACAAACACCACCAACTGTACACACAAGCTCACTATAGGAAGATTAATTGTACCTTTGTGTCAATTAAAAAGCAAGTTGGACATATACAATTGGGTAGGAAAGATTTTCTCACTCCCATTTTCATTTCTTGCTTTACAGATAAAGAATAGGTACTAATCAACAATGCCATATAAGATTATCTTTGTATAATGGTATTCATTTTTCCCAATCAGTTAATATAATATAAAAGGATGAAGCTATATGTGCTTCACCACTTATTTTTTTCTTCTCAACCTGAAACAAGAAATACAGTGTGAAGAGCACTGGACTTGGGAATCTGTCACTATTAATGACAGATGCCATACATCCATGTTCCCCAGTGGGATTTCTACTTATAAGTTATATGAGTACATATTTCTGGCTTTTCTATTAATTCAAAAGAGACAACCTAAAAGCCACCAGTGTGATACAGGGGAGACCAAGCTCCAAGTCCCCCCACTGCTGTAGAAGCTCACTTGATGACACTGGGCCAGTCTCTCTGAGCCCAACTTATCTCACAAAGTGGTAGCTGTGAGGAAAAACTGGAGGAGGAAATGGCAGGATGCACAATTAATAAAAAGAGAAACCCTTTGCTTTTAGTAAAAACTACCAGCAATCAGCAATGCCATCAGCCCTTCAAGACAGGCAAGGTCAAGAAACAGGCACGCCAGGGATTCAGAGTGCTCTTTATTGCTGTAGGGTAGAACACCAGAAACTTAAAAGCCTGCCAGAGCTCCTCTTTACCCCATCTTACACCAAGCAAAATCAAGGTGGGGCTATTTTTCCCAGGTAGGAGGTTAGGTGAGCTCTACTGCTGCTTTTTTGTGCTTGGGATTATTGCTTTAGCCTTGGGCATTGTGGGTTATATGTTGAGGTTTGTGTTTTAATCCTTGGATGCTGCCCAGAGTCACTGTTGTTAGGTGGATGGCCATATAAATTATTTAAATAAATACATAAATTTATTTTGTAGTTTCTTTCTCACACTTTCCTCTTTCTCAGGACTGAGTTGTCTTTCCCTCAATGGTTCACTCATTCCTCCCTCTTGTCCAAGGCCAGCTCTATACTTTCTCTATGTCCAACAAGAGCAAGAGTTGAAAGTTGTTTATCCTCTCATTCAACAGAGCACAAAGAATTTTGCTGCTGGCTTCTGGCACTGTGGAAGATGGCATCATTGCTTCTGCTCAGGAAAAGAACGGCCTCCAAGCACCACTAATCACTACTTGCATGGTTATATGTTGTTATCCAGGTTTTCTTCCATCAGCTTTGAAACTCAAGATACCATGGTTCTGCTGGACCATAGCAGCTGCTACAATCTGTCCACCTTAAAGCCTACATACTGTCAACCTAAACTGAGCTGCCTGCTTTAGGTCAACCCTGTGATGTGCTTACAAGAGTGTCTTTAAATCATTCGGAAGAATTAAATTGGACTGTACATGAGTACAGTACTTCTCCGTTATATGTTAAAGCAGCCCATCTTTCTCAGGCTTCACAACCAATCGGAAAAAAGATGCTTTGCTTTACGGAGTTGACTCAATGCAACTCGCAACAGTGGGTTCACTCAGTTCCATGATTTGAGTTTACATGACATTCAGAAAACTACATGTGCTAGCTCGGCACAGCATGCTAGTCTAAAATGCCATTGTATTTCAGTGTGTTGTATGAATATAGCCAACTGCTTTCATCAGGAAATCAGGTATAATTTCCCTATTGCAGCCTTCTCTGATATGGTGCCATTGAGATGGATAGCAATGTAACTCTGATAAGTTCCAGCATGTTGGGATCTCTTTTGCTGTATGGAAGCTGGTACGTGTGAAAAGGGTCTGAATGTCTTGTTGGATTATAAACTGAAATGAGCCAACAGTGTGATGCAGCTGGGAAAAAAGCAAATGCAATCCTATGTTCCCAATTAAGAAGCACTGTTCCGCCCAGTTCTTCACTGGTCAGCCTATAAATAGAATATTACCTCCATTCTGGGCACCTGCATTTTAATAAGGACATTGACAAGTTGGAACACATCCAGAGGAAAGCGACCAATATGATCAAGAGCCTGGAAGCTTAGGAGGAAGGGCTGGAGTCACTGGGAATGTTTAGCCCGGAGAACACTGCAGAGAGACACCACAGCGGTCTCCCGAGTATCTGAAGGGCTGTCAGATAGAAGACAGGGTAACATTGTTCAGAGTTGTTCCAGAAGACAGGATTGAAAAAAAAGATTTAAACCACAAGGAAGGAGACTGCAGTGAGACATGAGGGGAAAAAATCATCTGAACTAAGAACTATTCAACAATGGAACAGAGTGCCTCGTGAGGAAATGGACTTTCCTTCACTGGATGTGCATGAACAGAGGCTGGATGTCTATTTATCGGTGGGTTCCTGCTTTAGGGAGGGGGTTTGCACTAAATGATCTCCAAGGTCTCCTCCTCCTCTTCCATTCTGAGACATGGAAAGCTCTGGAGCCCCCTCTCCTTCCCCCACTTCTAAGAAGCAAGATAAAAGCAAGTAAATCTCTCTCTTACAACATCCATCAAGGCTGCTGCCAGACTCAGTAAGTAACAGACACATCCATTTATTCTCTGATTTCTTCCCAGTTAAAAGGATCCACTTTTACCTGGATCTGGGAGGAACAAGGCTGCACCTTCTTATATCATTCCCTTACTTCTAATGTGCAAGTGAGGAGATTTGTAAAAATTCCCTCAATAACAGAGCAGTGAGCCACAAGGAAACATATATTTGATTAGTTCCTGAATGAAACAACATATTTTATAACAGACTATGGTAGAGATGCGAGAGCCAGTTTCGTGTAGTGGTTAAGGCATCAGGCTAGAAACTGGGAGACTGTGCATTCTAGTCCTGCCTTAGGCATGAAAGCCGGGTGGGTGACTTTGGGCCAGTCATTCTCTCTCAGCCCCGGGAAGAAGCAGGCAATGGTAAACCAATTCTGAAATCTTGCCAAGAAAATTGCAGGGACTGATCCAGGCAATCACCAGGAGTCAAAGAAAAAGGTGGAACTGTAGTGATACTGCATTATATACAGGTAGTCCTTGCTTAACAACCCTAATTGGGACCAGCAACTCCGTTGCTAAGCAAAACATCATGTGACCGCGCTGACTTACAACAGCAGTTCCAGCAGTCCCGGTTGCCGTTATTAAGTGTGATGTCACGTGACTTGTGACCTCCTGACTTTGCTTGTTGGAAACTGGCTGGGAAGGTCGCAAGTGGCAATCACGTGATTGTGGGATGCTCTGACCGTTGTAAATGCACAACAGTTGCCAAGCACCTGAATCACAATCATGTGACCATGGGAACATTGCGACAGTCGTAAGTGCAAGGACCAGTCATAAATCATTTTTTTCACAAATGTTGTGACTTTGAACACTCGCTAAACAAATGGTCATTAATCGAGGACTACCTGTACAGGAATTTGCCCAGACTTCCCCAACTAGACACCCTCTAGAAGTCTTGGACCACAGACTTAGCCAACATGCTCTCTGACAGACTGTGGCGAGGGTATTATAGTAAATCTGGAGGGTGCCCAGTTGGCAAAGGGACAAGTCCATCATTGGTTCAAGGTTTATCTTAATTAATTACTACCTTGGACATTTCAGCTCCTTGGCATACTTCACAGCCAAAGCCAGGGCTTCCCGGAATTCAGGCTGGCGTCCAGGCACTGCTCCTAATCCCATATCACCTTTCTCTCGGCTCCCTGAAAAAAAGGGCAGAACAAATGTATCTCCAGATGTGCTCAGTCAGCCCAGCACTGGGAAAACAGTTCTTTGACAGGGAAAATTTGTCAGCTTTCCCTCTCATCTGCTACTATTTTGAAGAGAGGGGTAGATATTCTAGGAAGCATCAGTGGGGAATGCGGCAGAGTTTTTAGAAGGCAGATAGTCTACTAAAACACTAATTCCAGCCCCTTCAAAAAACTTGGAGTATAAATTATGTTGATTCTTACAAAATAACTGGCAGATGCTTCCAGATGATGAAACAAGTAAGAAAGGTGCTGGTGATGTTTTTCTTTTGTTTAACAAGCAAAGGCTTTATGCCTTTAACAGCTGGGTGGCTTCATAAAGAGTGGACAGTAAAGTATGTCCGTTGTATGGAGCTAGAAGGCAAAGAAGAGGCATCTCTCGATTTTCGCCTGATCAACACAGGTAGCACCGGTCTACTACTGCGTTCTAACGCGTCCCTTAGGATTTCAGTCGCTGCTACGCAAATCACGGGAAGAGAATGGGCGCAAAGATACCGGTCGGAGGAGGCAGATAAAGAGAAGGCGAAGTCACCGAGAAGCAATTAGCAATGCAATCGGGTACCGGGCGGAGTGTTGAGCAGGACCACCTCCAGCTCGTCCCGTTCTGCTGCCGCGCGCAGTTCTGGGGCGCTGCAGGCGTAGGGGAAGCCCAGCTCCACCGCTCGGAATCCGGCCCGCGAAGCCGCCTCCATGCGCTGAATTAGCGTCGGCTCCTCCTGGAAGAGCCAGGCCAGGTTCGCGGCAAAGCGCAGCGGTGCCATGGCACAGGGGGGCGAGGCGCCGCCTGCGGCCCAGTTCGCACTGCGCGCGCGGGGAGGAGTCTCCGCCGTTCCGGGAAGGCGCAGCCGCAGCCGGGAGGGGGTCGCGTGGGGTCTGTGCGAGAATCTCCGGCTGCTCGGAGTGAAGGTGCTCCTGCTTGGCGCAGTTGGAGGCCACGCGCCACGGGCGCTCAAGTGGAGCCGGAGGGCTTCTCCCGAACTGCAGATGTCGGCGACGCGGCGTTTTTCCCTTCCCGGGGAGAAAAAAAAGAACCCTGTTATTTGATGGGAAATCATTGCACTGCATTCCTAACGTCTGCTTATTTCCTTCCTTTTCTCTGGGCAGTAGTACCCCCATCTCACTACGGCCGTGTTCACACAACTGAACACTGAACAACAAATGAGTGGACCGCATTTTAGCGTAGCATGTTGTGGCAGTTCCGTTATGATCCCGTGTGTTGTGTGACCACAGGATAGGGGTTAATTGAATGAAGCGTGGGCAAATCCGCTCTAAATAGGGGTATTATACAAACCCAGGCAAAAGCTGGAATCCTACAGTTGGCTGAGGTCATTTAGGCTATTGAATCAGCCTCCCTGATAATTTCAGAAATTCCAACTAAAGCATCCTCAGTAGATGGCTGTGTAGACTCTACTTGAACACACCCATTAGAAGGAGAGGCCACCAGTTCTCGGAATAATTGGCTGCATTGTCAGACTGCTTATAATGTTAGGGAGGGGTTTTTTTTCCTGGATTCAATTGATACCTGCCATCTTATATGCTAAATCCATTTTTCCTTGCCCTACATTCTGGAAAGATAGACAACAGGGCTTGACCTCCTTCCATGTGACCTCCTTTCAGATGCTTAAAAACTGCTTTTAGACCTCCCTTGCCAGTGACCAATTCAGACAGCCTGGATGGTGTTTAGCCTTGTTGGTCACAGATAATGTCCACCTGTTCCAGCAGAGCTGACTGGTCACTTACTTTTCCTGTTGCATTTTTGTGCAATTGTCTTCTGAGGACTATTTTCCATGGTCTTTGTACCCACCTACTGTGGTAAATACCCTGGGTGTCCCAGGATTACTAAGAGACACTCTTTTGTGGTGGGGCAACTGTCCCTTGTTCTGGTTCTCATTTCACTTCATATGTTGCTTTTCCAATGGAGAACCTGAGCCTGCTTTACAGGGATGCAAATAACTTCTGAGGATCAATTTGTCCAAACATTCATTTAGACTTCGTTTTTCTTACTTGTTTAATTGCAAAGATATCTAAGGCTAGCAGAGGGCATACAGAAATGCTACCATCTCTTGAAATATCTGCGGGATTTGGAGAGAAGTTCCTTTCAGTATTAGATCAATGGACAGATATAAGCTATTCTTCTCACAGAGAATGGTTGAAACACTAGATATAATCTAATTTATTTGTTATTTTACTTTATGTTATTTATAGGCTGCCCAACTCCCATGCAAATCTGGGTGGCTTACAACTAGGAACCAATGCATATATAAAAACATATAAAAGATACAAAAAAGAGCAAAGTAATCAAAACAAGATCAAAACAAACAATATAGAGTAAGCAAAAAACCAAAAAGGAGGCTCCACAAACACTCTGTTTCCAAAGCCTAGGAGAACAACCAGATCTTCAGTCATTTCCTGAATGACGTAACAGTGAGAGGCACACGAACCTCTTGAGGAAGATCATTCCAGAGAGTAGGAACTGCAGGAGACTATGCATGATTTCTTGGTCCCGCAAGATGACTTTGTTTAACTGATGGGACCTGGAGCGCACCCACCCTGCTGGACTGAACTTGACAGACAGAGTCAACTGGAGATAGGCGGTCCCTATGTTAATAGCTCTGAGATCTCCCAACCTGCTGCACTCCAGATGTTTTGCACTACAACCCCCATCACTACCAAATAAGCATACATGACTAATGAATGATTAAGTGGTAGTATTGTAGCCTAACATATGTGGAGTGTGTCAGGTTTGAAAAGCTATGCTAAAATCTACCTAGTTCAATTCTGAGACCAATCCAAGATGTTCAAGAGCAACCTTTGCACTTCAGATCAGAGTGCAGTTCAAGCAGGAAGGAAGCACAGATTAAGATGAAGAGACCTGCACACATCATGTATGTAAAGCCAACCAGGCACCAAAAGAGAAGGGGTGAACGCCGATTTTCTTTTACTAGATGTTGCAACCCTCCATGCCCCACCCAACTTGTTCTCTTCCCCATCTTTTCCCAAATAATTACTGACATCAAATACTTCTTAGAGACTGAACCTAAAAAAAGGCTTTTTGCTCAGTATCCTGTACACACACACACTACACTACACACTACACACACCTTCCTATTTCTGCAGGTTGCAGTTCTTAGCTGCTCTGCGGCACTGGTAAGGCTAGCCTCTGCTTTGCATTATGCACACGGCTCCTCTGTGGCCTGATGCATGCTGTTTGTTTGCTTTGAAGTGATGTATAATCTGCGCTGATAATTAAAGAACGTCATTCCAGGGTTAGTATTTATTGATACCAATTTAACTCGCCTCATACATCAAACTCCAACCATCCATTGAAGTCCCTGGTGAATTTCTCCATTCCAGAGACCTTGTTTTCATTACCTAGAATGACAAGACAGGCTTCGGGGGCATTAGCTCCTCTTCTTTGCCTGCATCTTTGTATTGGCCACCTTTTCTTCCTTCCCCGAGGACTGAAGTAGCAAGGCTGCTGTTCAGATCCAAATGGGACCTGAACAAGAGTGAGGCTTTATAATTACAGTGTAACATATATTGGCAAGTCAAAAAGATTATGATTTTGAACCCCCGAAAACCTGCCATTTTAGCGATTAGGAGGCATCTAGACTAAGATTTTCTAAGGTAACATTTGCTAAGTCAAAGTATCTGTTAGCCATAGAAGTCACAGAGAAGAGGCCAGTTCTGGGCTAGTCCAAAAAGCAGATTTGAGAATTCATAGTTCTACCATTAAATAACAGTGCAGCACGTAATTGCCCTAAAACCAGTCCTCTATACAGTTTTGTAGTCCTCTCCCACCCCGTGCTTCCAGCTGGATCTTCTCAGTTTCTGATCCAACAATTGATCGGGTAACAAGCCAAGCAGCAATCTTCCGTAGCTTAGATGGTGTCTGTTTTTACTGGCCACAGGGCAACTACAATGGATTGATGGTAGGTGTGGATGATCTGAGGCTCAAAGCTTGGTATGGTCTCTGATGTCCTTTTCTGCTACTGTGATCGTTATCATTGTTTGCTACTGTGATTGTTATCATAGAAGAGAATCCATATTCATGAAATGATTGTGTCTGTTTTTATTTATTATCCTACCACTGCAGACTGAAAATCCAGGGGGCTCTTGGCCAGCAAAAAGCAGCACAACCCTGCCCTACAGTATAAGGCTGGTTGTTGTTTATGTAGTAGTTGATAGCCTCCAGCCAACCTTACTTCATCACAAGAAGTTTAAGTGGAGTTGGATTTGGCTAGTATTTGGCTGGAAGATCACCAGCAATTCCCAAGGGTTAGGCTCCCCCTCCCAAATCCAATATGAAGGCAGCAGTGATCACCTGCATTCTGTTGTTAAGGAATCCACAAAGATTCCTTAACAACATGAAGTCACCAAGTCAAGTTCAAGGTAGAGAGATTTTGCTTCTTATTTACATATAGCCACATCTTTCTATTTTCTCCAGAATAACATTAACAATTTAATTTATGCAACAAATGTACCACCTTGCTGGATTAGATCAAAAGTCCAGCATATTTTTTTATTCAAAGTAGAAAATAACATTTTCTATAGGCTTTAATTTTTAAAAACATTTATTGCTTTAGTACTCAACAATAAGAAATACTAAAAAGAAAAAAAACTAAAATGGAAGAAAAATACAAAAGCATATTATCATACTTATAAGAACTCAAATTTTAAATGGAACATTAAACCTCACCACAAGGAATAATAGCAGTAGATCTTTCTGTTTTTCCATAAGGAGACTAATTCAAAAGTAGAGAATAACCCAAATCATCAATCCGAAATTGTAAATCTGGTCTGCAATAATCCTTCCATAGTATCAGAATGACCTTTATAGTATTGTCATATCCCATGCTCAATAAACACATAGGTCTCCATATATTGATACTTTCAAATTTTTGATAAAATAATTCAAAATCACATTCAGACATGTTTAAAATTACTACTTTTCCTTCTATTAAGAAATTTATGATTATTAAACCAAAACAGGGCAATATACAGGCAAGCCCATGTCATATATGTAACTGGCCTCTCCAATCATTTTACATTTCTAGCATAATGAAATTGACAATGCCTTCTGAAGATTCTCTGTAGTGTCCAATAAACATAAAAAATATTTTGCTGACTTAGTCATATGACCATAGGAAACATATTTAATATATTTATAAAGTCCTTTGGCCATTGATTGATCAATATGGGATATTTCAACTCTTTATTTTCAAGTTCTTGCAATTAGCTTACAGCTAGCTGTGAAATATTCTTCAGTTTTCTATAGAAAAATGGTTATACTGCCATTCTAAATTTTTAGGCAATAAAAGCGCAATAATTCAAATGGTTAAAAATATATTAGCAATGAACTGATCTAAAGTACTGATACTTCTATTCACCAATGAGTTCCCCAAAAAAAGTTTAGCTGGAATTTTCAAACTGAGATTATAACAAATTATAAGATCAAGTAGATAAGGATCAAAATTATGTTTAGCAGCATTTTCCAAATACCGTATACTTTGTAGCCTTTTGCTGCTGAAAGTGCAATCAAATTATGAATCATAAAAGTTGGAAGAGATTACAGAGTGTTCTAGTCCAACCCCTGCTCCGCGCAGGAGCCACCGGAGCACCTCTGACAGATGACCCTCCAACTTCTGCTTCAGGACCTCTAGTGAAGGAGAATTCACCATGTCACATGGCAGCTTCTTTCACTGGTTGACGTTTCATACAGGTAGAAGGTTCTGCCTGAACCTCCTTTCTTATAATTTTAACCCATTGTTTCTGCTTCTGCTCCTGGAGCA